CCTAACTGTACCAACGTCGTATAACCGCTTTGTTCTAAATTAGGCCGCTTATCTTCGGAGAATCCAGCTCTGGATCAACGCCTATGTTTCCTCATTGCTTAATTCGTCACCTTCCAGGCAAAGTATCACAAGCGCCATGCGACGTTTAAAAATTTCCGCCGCCATTATATATTTTTACAGAGAAATTGTTCAACGAAGCTGTCCGAAAATTACACCGAATTTTCTTTGTGCTGCCGATAAAATTTAGTGAAATTTTCGAACAGATTCAACCAACAATTTCTCAGTAAAAAAATAAAATAGCGGCGGAAATTTTTAAACGCCGCATGGCGCTTGTGATACTTTGCCTGGAAGGTGACGAATTGAAGTTTTGGCGCTCCCCCCGCCTCGCCTGTCTGCGTGATTCGAGCGAGTTTATGGATTTATTATTCTTCGTTTATGCGTCGCTTAGCAGATCGAGTCAATGGGAGAGGTCGGACAAAATTTGGAAACTTTAAAAGCTTATAGCTCCAATCACACAAAACTTTAAGATTTTAAAAGTGGCTGTATTGGTCTCCTCGTGAAATCTTCTTCTAGGAACACCCCTTTTTAAAATGTGACGATTTAAACATCAAAATTTGCAATTTTAGTAAAATATTTCATATCCGACCTCTTTGATCGACTCGATCCGCTGTGCGTCGTTCGAAAATTGGAGTCTCCGACCGGGTTGATTATTGAAATTGATAGACAAAGCTATGGAGAAAGGGGACATATGGAATATGGAGCGATCCTGGCTCAGGGTTGCCGCGGTCTTGAGAACAAAGAGCAACCAGAAAAAGTCAGGGAATTTGTGACGACCGGGAAAAGCCAGGGAAAGTCAGGGAATCTCTGACACATCTACCTACTAATTGCTCAAATGTCACTGATCCTCCAACAGTTTACCCTTCCGGTCATTTTAAGGCTTCTCACCTTTTAACCTGCCACTGGAATGCCTTTATCTATCACATGATCTTTAAACAGGGGAATTTTTTCCAAAGTTTACGGGAAAATAGCGTATTTTAAGAGAAAAAATGAACGTAGAAATTTTGCTCAAATGTCAAGGAAAGACAGGGAATTAGAAAATGCTGGAGTCAGGGAACAATCAGGGAATTTGAAGGGTATAAAATTATGGCAACCCTGTCGTTGGAACGGGTGGTCGTTGTAGACTAAGGGGGAAATGATCGATGGACTATAACTGCAGGGTCTTTAGTGGGTTGCCGTTAGTCAGTCTATTACTTACCTATTTGCTCATTCCAACCACTTGCTTCCACCAATAGGATCGCCTAATTTTTAGTTTTTCTTATTTGTCTATCGCTTTGTCTATCAATTTCAACGATCAGTCGGTAGACGGAAGAACGTATAACTTCATTTCAAAGTTGCAACATTGACACTCGCCAATTTTGTTTTTACCAAGGAACCATCGGACATTTTTTACTGAAAATGTGACCAATTTTTATTTCGATCACACGCAAAAATCGGACACTTTTGGACAAGAACTGCACAGTCATATTTTTGTAAAAAACTGAATCTTTCGAGTCAATTTCGCAACCTTGCTACGTCCCCTCGCAAGGGGAAACGACGAAGGAATGAAGGCGCACAGCTTTCTTTTTTAATGGCAACGGTTGGATACAACTATTCGTGCTCGATGGACGTCCATGTTGCATATCCAAATAATTGAAGGCGATTCGGGTTTTCTTGCGCTTACGAATGCCGCGGCAGCGACTCGCATCGTTTCGAAGTATGCTACCCCTGACTTGAAACATCGGAAAGAATCATGCGAAAGAATGAAGGGGAAGTGGCTTAACATAAATTTTATTGTTTTTAGCGGAGCATCAACTTGTTTTAAAAAATTGTCAGGAATTGATCGTCAGAAAAAGTGCCTTCGTATTTGCGAGTAGGCAGAAAGGACCGCACAGTGATCTCCTTTGTTTTGGTCTGCATTACATGCGACGAGGTAGCCTCCGAGGGCATTCGCTGATCTTACGTTTTCAGTTTAGTCTGAAATTCACTTTCAACTTTATTAAATTGATTCTAAATTGAGGTCCCAATAAATCACTGAACAAGACCTAAGCCAATCAGTTTATCACACGCGACCTTCTGAAGTGCCTGCGCAATGAAGGGAACAAAAATCAAAATATCCCGTAATCAACTCTGCAAAATTCACTCTTCAGTGTTTGTTACCTCACCCGCTCGACAAATTAATCGAATTTCACTAAAATCAAAACCCATTCTGTTAATTTCAACATGTTTCACGATTGCTCGTGTTTTATTTGTTTTAACAGAAAACTATGCAACACTCTGACCTGCTTTTTGGCGGGTATGTTCATTTTAATCCAAGTAAAATTTACAGGAGCACTAGAGAAAAAACACATTGGATCTAGAGTTCAGATTCTTGAAAACATTGACAAGAAAAAATATTCTTGATTCAATCAGATTTAAGCTTAAATCAAAAGGAAATCCGCTGAAATTAAGAGGCTTGGTTCTTGATTTAAGCTTAAATCTGATTGAATCAAGAGTATTTTTCTTGTCGATTTTTTAAGAGGCTGGACTCCAGATCCAATGTGTTTATTTTCCAGTGAGGTTCAAAGGTGGTATATTTTCTAGTTTTTTGTTAAAAAATGTACGAATAAATGAGTACCTAAATAATAATAAAACTCGAGAGACAACTCCAATACATTTTGATTGAATCCGCACTTTTATCATCCCTCGAAAATTCTCTGTCAAGCCCGTATTTTGCGTCGATGGAAATGTAAGGATCCTCCACCCGCTTAAAAACCTCGCATTTTTTTCGTTTACTCCGTAATCGGCCCATAAAAATCATCTTTCAATACACTCGGAATGATTTTGATTGGACCCCCACTATTAACATCCCTCGAAAATTTCTTGTCCAGCTAATGTTTTCTGCGTCGATGGAAAATGTCAGGATCTTTAATGTGGCTGTGTTATCCGCTTAAGAACCTCGCATTTTGAGCTCGCCCACTCGGGAGAGCTCTTTGCGATCGATTTCTTTTAGCATTGGTAGTGTCCGTGGCGACAAATGGATGGTTCTCGTTGCCGTCGGAGGAACGGCCAAAATCCCATTGATTTCAAGGTCTAAAAGTTGAATTTTCGCGGGTTACAGTTTTCCTGCGTCGAACATTTCCGTTCCCTCATTCAACTGAGGATTAATTGTTCCTCGTTTGCTACACTAGAGAGCAGCACTTTCCGGTGGCCGAGCAGACTTGACTCACACCAACACGAATTTGTTTGTGTATGTATTCACCTTTATGCTAAATTATTTATATGTATTATTTTCCGTTCACATTTTCAAAAACTGAAGTCCTATTTTTTTGCTGTTCCGTTGCGATAAAATTATCAGCTGACTGCTATCTCTATGCTATCTTATTAGAGAATCTTCCAGTTTCCTCGGTTACAGAGTGTAATGGAAAATCCTTCTTTTCCGATGAGACAGTGACATCCTGAATTTTTCTATTTCCGATAAAATGAAGAGACGCTCTACAAACCAGGTACTGCTTTTTGAACTCATTTATTTTCTTCCTATTTTTTACGAAGTACTATACTTACTTTCCAGATAAATCTTAATAATTTTGTGAAAGACGAAGAATAAATGTGATAGAATTTTACACATGATTGTCCGCAGGAAAAGAAGGTTTATAGTTTACAGATTCAAATTTACTTGTTATGTGAAAGACTCGTGTTGAGTTTTGTTGAAAAATTAGATTGTACAAGGTAATATGTACTCATATTAATGGGCTAGTTCAAAAGCGGATTCAGCAATTTGGCAACACTGCCTTCCTTCCATTTAAACCTGTGTTGAATAATCGATTCTTGGCGGAGCACCTGGCCCCTCCTGGAATCGATACATTTACATATGTTTAAATGTGGAAAGAACAATGTTGCCAAATTTTTGGATCTGATAATGCGCTGGTCACAGAATTTTTGTTGATGTACGTTTTTTGCCGAGTTTTACATTTTATAACCAGAGCAAATATGCGTTACATTGACTAATAATGGGCCTGTTGCAAACTTTTGCTCATCTTTCCCTGTCAACTTTACAATAAATTTCGTTGTACCATTTTTCTATTGTATTTTGTCTTATCTCACTCTTATCTTCTGTTTTATTAATGATTCAGTTTATTTATTGCGGTGTGAAAAATTTGTCATGTTAATAGTTTCACGAAGGCGAGCTCTCCAACACAGTAGTGTTGGAACCAGCAGCTTGTTTTTCGTTCACACCGTAATCGGCCAAAAAAAAATCATATCTTGATACACTCACTCAGATTGATCTTAACTGAATCAACATCCCTCGAAATGCTCTCGTCCAGCTAATGTTTTTTTGTGTCGATGATGGAAGTATAAGGACCCCTTATTTGCTTGAAAACTTCGCATTAGTTTCGTTCACTCCTCATCTTTTCTGTTCACTCCATTATTGGCTCCCGAAAAAATCATCCGATCACCAACCTCTCGCCAACCTGTCTCAGCGACCTTAAACTCGGACCCCCCCCCCCCCCCTCCCACCGAAGGCAGAATCGAGATCAGGAACTGTATCAATCCCGTCAGCGGGGCGATTATTGAAATGTCATCGACTCTATGTCGCCGCTTACGACAAGACATAGCCCTATCTTAACCGTGCAATATATCGCAATTCGATGTCTTATCGGGCTGGTTTAAATTTCAATGATCGGCCCGCTGGTTTCCGAACTTCACCGTCTCCGACAGGGCTCTTTCACAACACGCAGGTGGCGCCACCTTCCTCCAGAGCGCGGGAAAGCCGAAACCACCCCCTCCCGCCTCTCCGCCGCGCCGGGTCGCCCTCGCGACGTGCAGGGGCGCTTTTGGGGGCGCGAGCCGTCCTCGTCGTTGCGCCGCGGAGCTTGCGCCCCACCCTCCCCCGCGACCCTCCGGGANGGGGGGGGGGGGGGGGGGGGGGGGGGGGGGTGCGCGAAGGAGCTGGAACGGCCGCGCGGCGCCTCTCCAGCACGCATTGATCACCCGTCACTGGCCCATTTGGCAATTGGCACTGCGGAGCCTTCGCGATTGTTTATGTTCGGCCGTTCCGCCTATCCGTTATATGTATACATATAAATATATATATTCCCCGTCGTCGTTATATATGTATATGATATGATTCTCGGTTGTTTGGGTTTGGTTTTTCGGCCCGTCATGAAACGCCGTAAGAGTTTCTTCCCTCGGTAACGTTGTTATCCTTCAGAGTGAGTGCGCGCCTCAGCCCGTGAAGTGATCCGTTTTCGCTCTCGGATAAGTGTGTCGTGGTGTTCGGGATTAAGTTTTCCTTCGGTATTTTTCCCCGATTTTTTTTTTTTTTTACTCACTCAGAATGTAAAATTTGCCACATAAGTAGTGGCGGTAATTTGGCGAGAAATTCAGTGTGAATACTTGACAGTAGTGTCTCATTGGGGCTGTATTTTTACGGGGTCGCTCTGGGTGAGGGTCTACAAGGCACCCGATCTGCGTATGTCAGTGGGTTTTCAGGACGTAATTTTTGGCATGAGTTTCCCGGGATATTTTGGTAGGACCACCTGACGGGGTCGAATTTTGATAGGGTAGTTTCTGTGAGGATCTGAATGGCACGACCTAACCTAAGCCGAAAATATGTGTCGAAGTGTTCAGTCGAAGATTCCCTGTTTTCTCGTCGTGGTAGGCCAAAAAATTTTGGAGCATTAGTTTGAGATTCTTTAGAGTGTGATTCTTGCTTCCATGTGGTGCGAAATCCGTAGAATAACTGGGATGGACCTCCCCGTGGGATTGAATTTTGGTGGGGTGGTTTTGTGACAAGGTCGGAGGGGCGCAATTTAACCTGTCTTAAGCATGTGTTGAAATGCCCGTTTGAGATTTTGATAGTGTTTATTTTTTTTCTTGAAGTGGTGCGAGTTTTAGAGGGCATTCAGGAAAGACTTTTTGGGTGGTTCGAACTAGGATGTGTAGTTTTGTGTGAGGATGAGGGGCTGAAGGGACCTAACCTCTTTCGCGAACAGGGATCGACCACTTCAGGTCAGCAGGGTTTCAGGGAAGGACAAGGTCTAGATTTGTCATTCAGTTCAAGATCTTTCGTCACCCCTGTTTTGTTCTTGTTTTTTTTCGTGGTAGATAGTTGAGCCTTCGTAGCATAGCGTCCGTCGGAATTTTGGAAGTTCATGAGGTTTATTAAGCCCAGCCCTTATCTCTTGTTCTAAAAAATAAAGGAATCATGAATAGAATACTGGGGGAAGTCTGCCTGGTCAGCCGGGAATTTTATTCCTATTGAAATTAACAGCCTTGTCAATTAGTGAAACTGAATGAAACATTGGTGAATCGAGATTTTTCTCCGTCCATTGTTGGCGCGTATACGTAGTATACCGCCTTTGCGATCGTTTCGAACCCTGCCTGATACAATAACCGAGTCCCTTAGTTCCTTACCGAAAAGTGACTACCGCGAACTTCTGAGATTTTCCAAAGCGTGTAAAAAGTTTATTTATCCGTCAATAATTATGATTTAAAGTTGTTTCTCATTCTGGGGCTCTCTAGTTTATGTGCAGTGAATACCAAGAGTCTACGTTACTTGGTTTTCTTAAAAAAAGCCTAAGAGTACGACGCGCTGATTTAAAATATGCATATATAAGCAGAATCAAGCGAACTGATTCGAGGATGGCTGAGCAGGTCGGCACTCTCGGAATGAGAATTTAACTCCTCCGTTTTGTTCAAAACGTTGCTTTGACAGATCTCCAAACCTCTGTTATACTTTTCAAAAGTTGGTACCCGTGCTCTGATAAAGCTGTTCATCTGACAACAATGTCAGTGTCAGCTGATAATAATATTTTTATCATATGAGGTTAATAAAAAGTTTTCAGTCAGTCTTTGTGAGGCGTTTTATCCAAAGTCAACTGAATACATATATTGTAGATTGTTGTTAAAATACCAATAAAAAAAAAAGTCTTTGACATTCTGAATAAATGTCTTGGTATTTATTTACTAATTTTACAGAATTATAATTTATTTCTTATTAAAACTAAGAAATACAGTGCAATCTGTGTAAGTGCAATCTGTGATGAGCCTCGAGACTCATTAGACCATTAGCTAAACGTGGCTCATACAGGAATCCACTTACCCCTCTCTTCCCCACGCTCCTGATCACTGCGTCGGCGTCTCTAAGAACAATAGCTAATGACAGTCGCCAAGCTAGGCCGGGATCCTCAGCCCCTCGCCCAATTACTTACGCTTCATTAACCATTTCACCGTCACGCCAGGATTCGCCCAATTTTCAAAAAAAATTGTTTCGCGAGTTTTTAGCAATTTTTTCCTTACTCTCCGTTGAAACACGAATTAAAAGAGGTCTCATTCATAAAAATCGGCCAAATAGAAGAGAAGTTACAGTATTCGAAATCCGAAGAAATCAACAAAACTTCTCCAAACAAAAAATAAAATGAAGGGGGAAAAAAAGAAATGTATAAATTACAATTTAATATGATTGACCTCAGAATGTGACAAGCAATTCAATTATAAAAAGGAGAAAAAATTGAGTGAAATTACAAAAAATTAGCTTCTTGCAAGGGGCTTCCTTGTATGAGTTTTGACCTGAAGACAAGTAAATCCCGTTATATTATTAAAACGCAGTTGACTCCATAGTTTAATGCCTTCGTTTCTTGAATACGATTATTTTAAGCACTCGAAAATTTATACCAGCAATTTTACCCATGGGGTGATTTCCTGAGAGCTGATAATATCACGAATTTCTCATAGAGCCCTTCTAAAATGGCTTGCTTTTTGGGCAGCCGAATCGGCCATCAAACCGGGGTTTAAATGGAAGCTGATAATAACACAAAGCTCTGAGAAAAATTTTGAGATGAGTATAGGAACGGTTTGTAAATTACGAGGAGAGGCGGGCATTCTGTTCAGCATATCGATACATAAGTATTTTCACACGTAGAATTTAATTTTCACGTCAGGGAGTCGACATATTTTGATTTTTTCGATTTTATACGGAAAATGTATGGTTTTTCGGGATTGAAATTACTTACAATTGTTTCATGAAAAATGAATGCACCCAAAATGACTATAGCATTTTGACTTTCACATACGTGCACTCACTAAATCGATTGGTAAATTCAAAGAGTGGGTACATCGACCTGGTATATCAAGTTTCTGCAATTTTTAACGGCAAATCGGTAGATTTTCGGGATGTGGATTGCTTACTTTCAATTCATGAATGAATAAAGCATGGACATGGTTAAGCTTCTTTGCATGAAATGACGTTTCAAATAAAAAAATCAAGACATATTTAATACAATTGCATTTATATCGAGTAAATCTCTTTTCAATAATATAACGGGATTTATAATACCGGTGATTTGGGTATTTTAGCCCCAAAATACCTTTAAATCGACTTTATCTTCTAGGAGTTCGACAGAATTTTTCCCTTCTTCGCTTAAATTTTTCCGTAGCACTTTTCTTCAAGAATCTGATAAGATTTTGCTTGAGGCAGATCAAAAAACTTAAATTTGTTCGAATAGCTTTCTAGATTCACAATACAGGTCTCGTCAAGGTGCGTCGTTGACCTTGCACTGTTGGATCGTGAATTCTCTTGTTGTGCTGCTTGCCTTTTTTGAAATCTCTGTAAATGAAAACTAAAGGGGTTTATATGTGCGAGTTAATGACGCGCCTTATCAACACATTGTGTTGGAGTTCACTGCTTGTTTTTTTATTATTACTATTAGCAAAGGTCCAAGGGACATGACTTCACCTGTGTTAAAAGAAAATGTGTCAAATTATGGGTTTGATGGTTTTGTATTGCGTTGCACTTTTGTTGCCCTTCTTTTTTTCTTATCATCACTGCTCAGACCACAACCCTTTGAAATTAGCAACCTTAGTCGCAAACTTTCGCAATAGGTGGCAAAGATTTGGAATAATTTTGAAATCGGGAATTAGCAGTCAAGAATCAGGAAAAATCTATATTTCATCAGGATCTCGCAAAATGAAAAAAAAGTAGACACCCTGTTTCAGGGTTTCATTTCTATCGGGGTGTAAATACAATTTAATGTAACATTTAATCGTTTCATTTTCAGTGAAAACCCAGTATTTTGGCCTGTGAATGCTTCTCGGTGATTGGCTGATCTAACAAACATTTTAACGTGTGCCGAAACTAATCTCCTAATAATCAGATTTAAATTCGATTAACCACAGATTTTTGTATTATGTTGAGTTGAAGTAAATTTTCCGCAATGGCCGAATCTCCAAATCAAATTGCTCAGGTAACCAGTGTGTTCGTGTTATATTCCGTTCGATTTTGTAATATTCCTTGTATCGTTCGAGTTAATTTTCATTTAGGTATTTTTTATTTGTATCCTGCTGAAATAGAACGGCTTCAGTTTTGTGTATTCCGTAGCTTGATGCTTTATTAAGTTCTGTAACAGTGTGCGTTTTTTTTTATTTTTTTCTTTTCCAGCATGTCTTGTTCTTTTTATCACACCGATGCAACTAAAGGCCAGAAACCACGTATCTCCATCAAGAAGTTTCAAAATTTCCGCTGCTTTTTGATTTTTCGGAAAAAGAAGTCGATCATTTGATAGCTTAAAAATGGAGGATATTCTGCTCCAAGATAAAAAAAAAAATCAAATATGTTTTCAAGAAATTACGTTGACTTCTTTTACAAAAAAAAAAAAAAAAATGGCAGGAAGTCTGAAATATTGCAAACGGAAATACGTGTTTTGCTTTTTGACCATCGATATTTCTCCCTAAGACTAACTGGACTACATTTTACAATTTGGAACTATAAATTATAGCCCGGTTTAAAAACAACGTATGTGTCATTAGTTTCCCTATGCACATAAGTTTTTTTTCCAGAAGAGCCAGAATTTATAGTTCCAAATTGCAAAATGCAGTCCAATTTTAATATTCTTCTTGTTGCCTGAAACAGTATCACCCTTAATACCGAGGGTGTTCATTAGCTTAAATGCAGTATAGTTAGCTGTTAACGAGAAAAAAACACTTTAAAATGAGGCCCAAACTGAATGTAACAAAGTGGTAAGATATAGTCCACACTATTTCCTGAGGAAAGGAAGGCTAAGAAGTCAAGAAATTTCAATTAGAGAAAAAAATGTTTGAGCTCTGTTGTGCATTATTACAAGATTGAGTGTTCAGCTCAGGCAGTTCTACCATGCTAAGGAAAAACACCGTATGAACATTCGAGAGTTGCCAAATCGCCCCGGATAAAACATGTATATTTGAGAAAGAATATGCGTATTTATCCCTGAAATTTTAAGACATTTTAGACAAAATTGCCAACAAAATTGTCTGAAAAAATTGAAGAAAAACATTCACAATTTTTGCAGTAAATTAGGTTTTTATTGAAAGAAATGTGACAACGTCTAAAGGTTCATACGGCGTTTTTCCTTAGCACGACAGAGTTGCATTGTAATATCAACACTCTCCCGAGTTCAGTCTTTTCAAAAATTTCAAATATAGGCAAACATTTTTTCACCAACATGAAGTCACTTTAAGTCTCCAATGTTACTTTTAACGTCTTATCCGTTTTTTGGTTTATCTTCACTTTTTAATTTACTCTCTCGTCTCTCCTTTTTCGAAGTTTCTTTACATGGTTTTTACTTTTTTTAATTGATGTTTCTTTTTCTCTCTATCTTTTCTTTTAATAAAATTTTAGATTGCATTTTGCGTAACCATCAATTTTACTTCACCAATAAATAATTTACTCAAGAACAAAATCAGCCTCACATGTCTTTCATCTTATAAATATTGATGTAACTTTTTTTAATTTTTTGTGGAGAAGTTAAAAATGTCCAACTTTTCGTGAATGGCAAACTGAGATGGATAACTACTCAACCTTTCTCATAACTTGAATTTCCCAAACGGTTTAGAGGTGTTTTTGAAAGGGTACCAGTGTAGAAAATGTTTCATAAATTATTAAGTGGGCATCATGATTTTAAGTTTACTTCCGCTTTAAATGTTCAATTTGAGGAAACCAAAAAAGAGGTCGTAACTTATGAAATTAAGTGAATAAAAAAATTTCTAAATTGTAACAACTTCTTTATATCATAGTAATCTCAATCGTCTCTCTCTCGAACCTCTCACCCAACTGTCAATTAATTTCCAGTTTCTGTTTACAGGTGATAGCATTCATATGTGGCCTGATTGTCATAATATTGATGCTAATGGCTCTGATGTCAACCGACTGGCTCATGGCTGCAGGGTGGCGACAAGGCCTATTTTCACATTGCGTTATGGAAAACGCACCCACACCTCTCCCATTCAATGTACAGGATGTCGGACCGGGGTGTTTTGCAGCTAGGGATGTAGGTAAGTAATGGTGACCTATATTTTTGAAGATGGGTTGTCAATCAATTTAAACTCAAAATCAGGCTCTACTGTTTACTGGCAGACAACTGTCTCAAAGATTTGCTATCCTATGACCAGATGTAATGTCAACTTACAGGGTTGCCACAGTCAGGGAATACCGGAAAATGTCAGGGAATTTCAAAAGTCAGGGAAAACCGGAAAATGTCAGGGAAAATGACGAAAATGTCAGGGAATATGACGAAAATGTCAGGGCATATTTGTCAAATCACCTTTATTTGCTTCATAGAATGGGTTTGGGGTTTCGAACAACAAATTTTGCCTGAAAACTATTTTCAATTATGTCCTCTTAACTACTTGTCATATCTTCTATTGTCAAGGAATTTCACCAAAATTTGTCAGGGAAAAGCGGGAAATGTCAGGGAAGTTCTTTTTCTAACTTCTGTGGCAATCTTGGAGAATTCAAGCTGAGAAAGACTGTTCATGGAATAATGAGCCTAGCTCCAAAAGAAATAAGGACTGTAATTTCTGCGAAGTTGAATTGGGAATTTGGTCTATGAGTTGTTGATAAAGTTACTTTCTTGTATTCAGAAGAATAACGTGCAACTCATGTAGCTCACTTTAAGGCGTTAAATTACAGTTAATCCTAGGAGTTTTGAGCTCCCAAGCTTGCTCATCAAAAACGTAAAAGTCCTCCTCTTTTACAAAATGATATTTTTTGAACTGGAAACTTCAAATCATAGTAGCTTTGATTTGGTTTAACGCTTTTGAGCATTTCTTGAGTCAAAGTTCTTGTAAAATAATGCTTTATCCGATAGTGTCAGTGACCAAATTTTTAATTTCTTTGCACCCCACCCCATATTATGAGAAAGTTAATAGTTTCTGTCTCCCACCAGTTTTCTATCTCTTTTCTCTCAGACCTTTAGCTGACCTTGGATACAGATCAACAGTCAATTTGACAGAATGGAAGGCTGTTAGTGTCGATGTTTTAGGTGAAAAAAAACATAATTGCAACTGAAGTTTGTTTCGAACGTTTCAGGTTACATAAAAGTTGCCGCTGCCCTATGCATTGCGACATTAGTGACTGATATTGTCGCGACACTGCTGACAGGACTTGGCCTGCGATCTAGTGATTACCGCACAAAATATAAGTTCTATAGGATCGCTGTTTATGTCATGTGTATTGCATGTGAGTATTAATGCCATGTGATATTTTCTATTTGTTATTAGCGGTCTTTGAGTCTCTGAAAGATCTTAGTTGTTTGTGCTCCATAATTACTTCTGAGACATTCAGAGGAGTCTCTGAAACTAATGCTTTACAATTGCAAACTAGTGTTGCGCCAAACAGCATGACTGTCATAGGGGGAAATTTGTGCTCTGATGAGTTTTCTCTTGATGAATATCCGTTTAATACTGAACTTTAACGCACATTGGCAAAGCCACCAACACTTGAGTCTCTGAAAGATTTTAAGATTCTAAACAAGTTGTGACTTTTTTTCATGGGTCTGGTAGTTGCATTTCTGAGCAAGGAGTACTTCAACTCGTTTGGGTTTTAGCCTCTTTTGGTTAATTCTTATGCTTTTCGTGCCCAAAAGCTTTAAATGCTTTCAAAACCCAGGAAAAGCTTCTTAAAGTTAAAATAACGACTTAATTCAAGAAAAGGCTGCTACAAACTGCAAAAGTTCCAGAACAATAAAGTAATAAAAAAAAGGGGAAGTTTCAAGAGTGGTACAAACTCATTTTCCACCCAAAAAGAATGAATAAATGAGTACTGTTTCGCTGTTTATTTTTCCCTTAATTTTTGTCTTTGAACTTTAGTATTTTGCAGAAGCCTGTTTGTACATTAAGTTGTCATTTTACTTTGTTTTTGTTTGATTAAGTTGTTCTTCAGTTTGAAAGTTAATAATGCCTGTTGTCATTAAGTAACGCCCACAATGTATCATGAAAAGAATTTCCAACATTATTTAGAAGGTCAAGGCTCCTATTTGTAATGAGAGGAAACAGTGTTAGAAAGTGATACGGGGAAACCATGAGTAGAATTCCTAGTTCGATCATAGCTGATCAAAATAATTCAACATTTTATAAATAATCTCTACTACTCTAGGGCCTCTCAAATTTCTTCAAAATATTCCTCTCATTTAAAGTACAATTTTAACGTTTGAAGGTGAATCTAAGCATAGAAGATAAGCAGGTCACCTGCCAACAATGGAGAGCGCCCTATTTACAGCAGCTTTTTAGTACAAATTCTCCACTGAATCTGTCCAAAATGGCCATCTTGAAAACTTTGGCTTGTCCTGAAAGACGATCTGACTTTTTTCTTTATCTTATCTGTTTCAGTATTATCTCTTCTTGTTGCTCTTGTCATATATCCTGTGTATTTCGCCTCAGAACAAACCGCAGGTAAGATAGTTTTTTTTATTCCTTCAAATTAATTGCTCCCTAGTAAGCATAGTTCTGGCCTAAGGTGGGAAAAGTCAGAAAACGTGGAAAATTTGAAAATTTTGATTCAGGAAGAAGCAAAATTAGTCAATGGAAAGTCAGGGAATGGAAAAATACAGACATTAATGAAAAACGAGTCAGTAGCGCTGGTCAGTTGGTCAATAGCAATTGCCTACGCTCAATATTAATCGAGATATCGTGCTTTGAAAAATTCGGTTATGACATCATTTACCTCGGTAGTGACACCCTTGGTCTCTTCCACCTTTTTTTATCCAAGTTTTACGTCAAATAACCAGTACAAATGTATGTCCTACTAATGAAAGCGAGGTGAGAGAAACCAAGGGTTTCATTTCTGTGGTGGATGACATCATAAACCGAATTTTTCAAAGTGCGATATCCTGGTTAATATTGAACATAGAATATTGCTGTTCTTATTATTATCAGCTAATTTACAAGAATCAAGCATGAAAACACGATTCTGTGACCAGCGCAACTGACCCATTAGTCAACAGAAAGTCAGACGCAGGAAAAATAAAGACATTTTAATGAGAAATTGGAAACAAGGAATCCATTTTGCTGTTTTTTGCCTTGTGACTTTTTGCTTTATGGACTGATCTTATTATTATCAGCTAACCTACAAGAATCAAGCATGAAAACACGATTCTTTGACCGTGCATCTGATCCATCAGTTAACAGAAAGTCAGATACAGGAAAATTAAAGACATGCTAATGAGAAATTGAAAACATGGAATCCATTTTTTGCCTTATGGCTTTTTGCTTTGTGGACCAATCTTATTATTATCAGCTAATCTACAAGAATCAAGCATGAAAACACGATTCTTTGACCGTGCAACTGACCCATCAGTTAACAGAAAGTCAAATACAGAAAAAATAAAGACATTTTAATGAAAAATTGGAAATGTGTAATCCATTTCTCTGTTTCTTTGCCTCTCGTATAAGTATATTCGATAATATTTCAGGCAACCGAACTGTGTGGGAGTTTGGCTGGGCATACGGTGTTGGCTGGGGCGCTGGAATCTTCCTCTTTGGTGGGATTGTGCTGCTGCTCTGCGATAAGGAGTCAGAAGAAATCTACTACAAAGAACGTAAAGTGACCGTTGCCTAGTGTGCGGCCTCCCTGCCCGATGTTGTTCTCTAAAAACCACTAGTAGCTATCGGGCAGGAAATGGCGCTCTTGACAATACTAGTGGTTCGCCTCCAGCCTCTGTTCGCGTTCTGAGCTGCGTTCATAATGACGTATGTCCAGCTTTTAGTGCTCTGTGCTTTCAAATTGTGTCTCAGTCTAATCAATTGCACGGGCTTGACTGTTCCCACTCTTCGAGCTGTGTTAGGTTTATCACATCTTTTGTGTCTTAATTTTCTATTCTAATAAGTTCCGAAAGTTTTTGAACATCACCTGAAACTTTTAACCATTACTCATGGTGTTTAGGGTCTGGGAAAAGTAAAGACATACCATGATTCACCCGGAAACAAAAGGTCTTGGGGAAATTAAAGAGTCCAAGAATTATGACTTTATTTCTTCATCATTTCAAGACCTTTATCGTTTTTAAATTTGACAATTTGGATCGACCTGCCTCTAAAGCATCAGCTAGAAATGATAAGACTAATATTTTTGCTCTTAGCAATTTCAGGAATATTTAATTTTTCCCAAGAGAATGTGGAGAAAAACGAGAGAAAACCTCAAATCTCTACCTGAAGATCTGCTCCAAAAAATCAAAAAAATATCGGAGAATGAGAAAACTCAAGAATTCTGGACACCTTGAGTAAATCGAAATTGGTTTTGAAAAGTTTTTGCACTAGCGCCAAAATGTTTAATTTTTCCTCACTCTACCAGAATTTCTTTAAACTTAAAATATAAATGTGCTGTGTTGGTGAACAATTTTTTTATTTTTCTTAAAATTTTTTGTGAAACCTTCTAGGAAACGAAATTTACAGTTTTGGGAACCCTTTGCCCATCAACTTAATCTTAGTCAAGAAATTTTCATCTAACTAAGTTTCCAAAGATTACAACTTCTAAAATATCTTCGAAGAGTTTCTTTTCAATAATTATTGACTTAGACCGGCAAAAACCCTCTCCTCAATCCTATAGTTCATATCCAGGAAAACCAGCTCTGGTGTGTAGACAATTCCAAAGAAGTGTTATCATCTTTTCTGAGCAATTGTGGATAAAACTTATCATCGAATGCCTTTTTCCTACAAATTATTGGTCTGTGCTCAAGGACAGGAAGAATGATAAGTGTTGATACAGGGTTGTCGAAGAGATCTGCAACTTCAATAAATATATTTTTTTATTTTATTTTTAAATCTCTCAAACCGGACGGTTTTTTATTCCACTCGAAGTTATTGAATAGATGGGTGCTAATTGTGGATCTATCTAAATAATTAACAATTCAACATAAAAATAGTTAAACATTGATTTCTTATCTTCATTTTTAATTTTTCCCTATTAACATCAGAAAAATTGTGAATTTTGTGCTTTTCATCGACATTTTGGACCACAACCTTTAGCATCTTGAGTTCCATCTCTGTATTTCTAAGAGGTTTCACCACATGAAAAATATTATATATTGTTTTTAATTTTTGGTGAATGAATCGAATTCAATTTTTTTGTTTCTGATCCTAAGATTTATACTGTCAATTATTTTTCTCTGTTCAAAAGCAAATCCACAACTCTTCATTTTTCCCAAAACGAACAGTTGACAGTTAGTTCTGTTTTCTGTGTTTATCTGTGTTAATTGGTTGTAATCCCCATTTCTAAACTGTGCCTTTTGTCTTTAGTAATTTTTTTTTTAAACTGTGGCTCGTGCAGTGTATTTTGGGTAACAGTTGAACGTGCAGTTGTCTCTGATCTACTATCCGGCGCTGGGCGAACGCGGAACTTTTCACCAAAATCCCTTTCCTATCTAGAGTTTATATCACAATTTTTGTCAAATTAATTATAATGTTATTTTGTAAATAGCCTGTAAATTTGATCGATTTTTAACTGAAATTTTATACTGTACCATCCTGTAAATGAAATGAACTGAAATACTCATAAGGTAATTTTACAAATTGGTCCTAGGTTAACTGTCAAGCCAAAAAGTAGCATGTACCCTTTTTGTTTTAAATTATATTTTTCATTTCATGATCTCTTACAAAATCTGTAAGAGAAAAGCTCTTATGTAGTCTCAGAAAAAAGTATTCTAACTTCATACTACCCTGCTAAGGAAAAATGCTGTATGAAAATTCGAATGTTGCCAAATTTCCCCCTAAAAGTAAGTGTTTTTGAGAGGTTGTGATTTTTTTCCCTTTAAATCTTCAGACTCTTTAGATCAAATCGCGAGTACAATTCTCTGAAAAATTGGGAGGAAAATATTTACAAGCTACTTATGAAATTAGTGTCTTATTGAAGGAAATATGGTAACGTTAGAAGGCTCTGCCGGTGGTTTTCCTTAGCATGGTGGAATAGTGAAGAGGTGCCATTTAATTTTTTTTAAGAAGGAAAATGTCTTTACTTCTGAAGTTCAAAAGAATTGAAGCTACATATATCATTCCTGGTGAAAGAATTTCAGAAGACATTAGATTACAGTTTCACAAAAATCTTCACGCATAAAGAAGCATTTGTCAATTTCACTTCTAACGTATGAAAATTGTTTCACATGCAAGAGAGACAACAAACTGGTTTATGGATAAGTTCTTGTAAATTTGCAAATTTCTTAGGTTTCCTTGCAAATTGTTACATTGATGTACCCATACATTATTATGAAGCATTAATTAAAGGTCAGCTTGTTTTTCACTGGTTATATTTTAACGTATCAAGGAAATTCAGAAGTTCTTTCATTTCGAGCCTCACATAGGACAGCCATCTCGATTATGGTCGATTTTTTCAATTATTCTTTTGCTATGAGTTTTCTTGAAGTGAAAAATCCTCTCGACTAAAATGACAAGTGTGCACTGCCGAAGTGCAGGCATACCTTTTCTTGGCAATTTCCTTGAAATATGAACACCTCTCTAAAATGATGAAAACAAATTCTTGTGTGAAATTTTGACAAATCTGAATTTTTTCGAGGCTTTTTTTAGTTGAAGTATGTGCTCTAATTCAAAAATATTATTTTCTACTGAAATTCTTATTTACGCTGATCTGGTATGCCCAGACAGCCCAGAGCAGTCTGTTTGAACCATGGTCTATTATATTTTAACCTCAACGTCTCTCGTTTTTTCCAATCACATGATGATATGTTGAAGTGATGGAATGGATTATGTAGTGTAGTATTGCAAACCTAACAGCACAAAGAATAACAAAATAAAGAAACCACTTTCAGAAAAGTGTTCTTAGATATAATCTTGTGTCCCTTCCTTTCTTGAAAACGAGGCATACATAAAGAGACTTAACTTTTTCAAAGGCACTCTAATCATTGGTCGGAGCAATCAGAAACTATCTTATGTGTGCCCTCTCAACAGCCATAAGCTCTCGCTAAAAAGTTTCATGCCTATTAGCCTTGGGCGTCAACATTTTTTCGGTTTCCCTTAAATTTCTCTTTTCTCATCAAACATAACCCCTCTTACAGCTGAAGTAATTTTCTATTCTTTTTCAATCTAGTGTTTTAGAAGGAGTACCTCAGTAGTAAAAAAAAACCAAGTATGTACTCATCTGTGCGTAAATTGATTTCAGTATTGTGGATGCGTCTCGCCGGAGAGTAGAGAAGTATCAAAATCAACTTACGCAGAAATGAGGATTTATATGGTCTATGAACTTTTTCATGTGCAGTTCTCCGTAGTTGTTTTTAGGAACTTTCGTATTTTAGATTGCATGAGTTGCATTTTCTATGAAGGGTGTTGTATCGATACCCTGTATACCAATGCCACCCACCCTAATCTCCCTCAATTTTTATACCTCAGCATGCTAGGTTTGACTCATAGTTCTTGCCAGCAGCTTTCTACATATCAATGAATCAAAAATTTTAAGTTGAGGTCTTTTTTCTAGTTTGATGTTGCTCCACATATAGAGCATGAAAATCTCATCACAAATGAGCGGCTTATTTTAATTTGTGTCGAATCACTTTAGGGCAATTTATTTTTCTTCAAAGAAGGGTTTAAAGTTTTTCTGTAACTTGCTATACCCTTAAAGCTTTCCTATTACTGCCGAAAATCTCTCTTATTTTAAAATTTTTATCTACTTAAATTGAGCAAATGTTTTTTGTTCGTACGCATTTGTTTTTATTTATTCTGCACAAGTAAACAGAACAGAAAACTGTTTATTCTTGTAAACTTTTTACCTTGATCCCATGTCTTCAGTCTGTATCTGAACCTAGTTCACTCGCTGGCAGCCTTTCAGTAAACGAGAAGATTCTTTTTTGCAGCCTACGTACCTTAGTATCGAAAGTTCTACTGCACAAAACGATTTTGGCAATTTTTTTCCCCTGAAGTTCAGAGCTCTCAAAAGAATGGCAGCATCCACTGAACTTGCATAATCTTTGCTGTCAACCATGCTCCTTAGAATTTAACACTTCTTTCTCCATTCATTTTTCCCTTGATAGGTCCATCTTCAATTTTTGTTGAAGTATTCCCTCCGGTTTTTTATTTTTTTTGTCTCTGATTTTTAAGCCAATTATTAGCTTTTTCTCGTCCAGTTGGAGAATCTGTATTTTCCTTCAACTTTCACAATGGTGCTGCTCTTTGAACAAGTATACTTTATGTACGAGAATTTAATTTATGTACTTATTTATCATTTGATTACGCATTTTTTGCTCTTGTAGTCAATGAAAAGATGATTTGCTGTTCCGAACTAGTAATTCTATGAGCTTTCATAAGTATAGAGTAAAGATCCATACTCTTACTCAGAGCAACTAGTTTGTAGATTTCTTTATACAGGAAAGTTACTCTATCGCTCAAGAATGTCAGTCTTGCTCGTTTTTATCCACAGATCATTTTACAAGTATTTATTTAAATTATTTTAAAGTCTTCTTCTTAAATAATGTCTATAAGCTTTCTAGCCTCTGCTTCAAAAGCTGTAAAATTGAGGTACAGGATTTTAGACGCAACAGCAGCAGTTTTCAAGTCTTGTGTCCTGTAGTTGCGACGAAAATCGTGACCCCTTCAATGCCAGTTAGAAAGAGTTGAATGTCGCGTCTAAGATGTTGTTCTGTCTGAATAGCAAGGAATTCTTTGAAATTCATTCATTATTGGCTTGATGTCAGAAAAACTGCACTGTTACAAAAGAGCTGTATTTTAATATCCCAGTTTTGTGTTTTTTTAATTTTCAACCAAATCGTTTTATTTGTTGTTATACAGTTGATTTCATAGTCTAACAAATGTTCGCATCAATTTAATTTGTAAATCTAATGTAATACGTTCCTCTAATACTTGATCACACAGCTGTTACCCAGCAAATTATTCTGTCAATGAGTTAAACATCGATTTCAATAACAATACTTCCAATATTTTGCTGGCTCTGTACAGCTTTTCTTCAGGCGGTCGATATTCCAGAGGAAAGTAAATAATCAGCTTGTTGATCAAGTCTATAATGATTTCTAGTTTATCTAGTAATAGCTAAAATATTGGGTTTGTTTTTCAGATCAAGATGCAACCTTTTTTTCTTTCATTGATTTTTCACCTGTTGAATGCTCAAGTACTTTTCTGGATGTTAGCGTATTTTCTCATTCAGATTGCTAAACTCCCCACTTAAATTCACGAAATTTGGAGTAACACCTGTGGAAACAAGTACAGTGAAAGCTAATGTATTCCATCTAATATGGAAAACCAAATGGGAGCTATGGAACACAAAAATTTTACCCCTGAAGAAACACTTCTGCCCATGATTTTGTCCTCATTTTTACTGCAATGACATTTGGAACACTGAGCCATCCTAAACTTATCTCATTTGTGGTGAGCTATAAGGAAGTGAATCAAACTTCTGTATTCCATTCCAGTGTTTTCATATTTTCTTTTCACGGTGTTTCTTAAACGTCAGGTTTCTGCAAGGACAAGTAAAGAAATTTTGCACAGTTGATCTGATAGTTAATAAATTCATGAAAAATGTACACATCCAAGGCCGTGATTTACAAGTGGCTTTTCTCATCACGGAGTGAGACACTGTACCACCGCAACATGTCGGGATTTGTACCGCTACTCACAACTAAGATCTTGTTCATAATAAATGTAGTATTTGTAATTATTCTGTAACTTTTAAGTTTGAACTGTAGCTGTCCACTTGTTTACTATTAGTAAAGAGGAACCCATGCTGAAGCATAAAACCGTTAGTTGTTCGTGTGTTATTTTCCTGCAGTCCATTTCAACCTGAATCTGAGGCATTGTGTTTTGAGTTCTAGACCATACTATTTCCCTGATTGTCAGGGGCTCATTCCTTGATGAGGACTCAAATTTTTTTCCCACTTCGCCGAGATTTTCCTGGGGGAAAATGTATAACTCTTCGGAGTTTCAGATATGAATTCAATTTAGATTTTTTCTTTCATCTTAAAGTTTTGAAAATTATAATTGGCCCTGGGGGGCCCCCGACCCCATGGGCTTATGGAGAGTGCCAAAGTAATAAAGTAATTTCGGTGGCCCTCTCCCAAGGGAGAACTGAATAATTTCATCCTCTCCTGCTCTACAACCGACGGTTTACAAGATATTCTAATTTTCCTTGTTGAAAAAAACATCCACTTTTCATTATGAAAAAAAAATCGACCAGCACCAAAATTTTGAAAATTAAAATTGACTCTAGGGGGCCCCTGACCCCAAGGAAAGGGCCTACGGAGGGTGGAAAAAATATCACAGAAGTGCAGAGGAGAGATTATTAGGCTCTAAACATTAGACGAGTAGACTCCGCGTTTCTGAGACAGATTTCCTTATTTTTCCCTGAAATGTTTAATTCCCTGATGAATACCGAATTTTCAGGGTTTTTTGTCGGTCTAGACACTATGAAAGGTCCTCAATTCCTAATCCGTTTCTAGGGTAGATACAAAAGTCCTGCAGATAAATTTGAATATTCTGATCAAAGTAATTTTTGTCTGCAATACTTTAGGTTTTCTGCAGCTGAAGAGCTAAAATAATCACTTACTCATGAGCAAAATTGTTTTTATTTTCCAAAAATACATAAATTTTAAGTTCATTTCAAACAAATCACAGTCACGGTTTAAAATGCAATCCATTTAAACCTTGATAGGTATCTAACCTCTGAGTTATGTCCTTCCATCAAAAGAGACGTATCTTAATTGTGACCTGAGCCCTAAGACTCATAAAAATAAAAACATAACGGGGCCCATGGCACAATATTTGATATGGTTCACTTTTGATTTATATACCAAATGGAAATTGCTACTCTGAAATCTGCAATGATGAAAACATAATACTGCAACACACTTTGTGACACACAACAGACCCATTGTGATTCCTTTTTGTGCACCGAAATTCAGTTTAGTATTTTAAAATATCTTAGCACACTTTCAAGTTTGAAAAGCTAAAACTAATATGTGCACTGGAAATTCTCGTATACTCATGACAACTAAAAGATGACAGGTACATACAGGATGATCCAAAAGTTCCCCACCACCTCCATAACCCTCAAGATTCTTGTCCCTTTTTAGGGGGGTCCCTTTAAAATTTTGGTTGTTCTCAAAAGACGTCTCCTTTGACCTAGGAGCAATCACAAAATTTCAAGTCTCATCTTAATTTGTTTAGAAATTACAAGAGTGATGCCTGGTGTACGTAGTCTGGGACTTTTTGATCACCCTGTAGTTACATTCATTAATAAATTGGGATGATCCTTTCATTTTTGTGTTATACACCTCGACAAACTTAAAGAAAACACAGTTGGAACACCTTATAAACAACTTAGAATCATTACCTCCGGATCTGAGGAGAGTTTTGGCAAAATTTTTGACTTTCTTACATCAATGAATGATTTAAATCATTTTAGCTGAGAGATAAAAGATTCAAAAAAAAAAAAAAAATCTCACAGTTCTTCAGGGTACTTCACCGTCATCAATTGTTTGGATTAATGTTAAAATACTGCTGCCTAGCTCTTCATCTTGATTGGCCCATGAAACAAGAACGTTCTTCTCCTCTTCGGTACCCTCGACTTTCACCAATACAGATTCAACCGAGATAGCTAGGTCATTAAGCTGCACATTCCAATCCACTAACCGACTTGAGATCAGTCCAAAAAGGTGTTCGGCTGTTTTAGCGACGGGCCCCGGATCTTGCAAACGCACAATGGAGGTAAACCTAAAACAAATCAAGTAATAATTTAGAGACGTCTTCCTGGTGGCTAGAGGCAAATAGGTTGTACAATTTCAGGGTGTCTAGTTTTTTTTCATTTAGGGAAATACTGATTTTTCCTGATTTCTGACTGCTGAATCCTGACTTCATAATTTTTTGAAATCCTGATCAAATTTTGATTTTTTGCAGAGAAAAATTAAAATTTCTGCAAAAGCATATGCGAAAGCAAAACTCTAGAATTAAGTTCAATTTCAGTTAAGTCAGATTAAAAATTCTATTCCTGTATTTATTGTGAAAAATGCTTTCCATTATTGCATGGTCTTCTTGTAAGCTGTCAAGTTCATTTCAGTAGGTACTGATGGCAGTTGTAAACTTACATTTTCATTTAACAATTTTGAGTTTCAAATTTGGCAAATTAAAACTCTGAGGAACCACCTTTGTAAACTGAAGTAAGTAAGTAAGTAAGTGAAGTAAGTAAGGGTCCATATGTGATGCTGCAGGTGAAGTAAAGACTATGAGGTATTTCTATTATGAGATAGGATAAGGGATTTTTACGGTATACCGCATTGGATTTTCCGTCACGATGGTGAATCTACAGCCCTTGAGAGGGAAGGGAGTAGTCAAATTAGAGGCACAGGTTGGACATACCTCAGCACATCCAAGAGGTGCGGGGCGTACGCATAGAACCCCCTGTTCGCCCGAAAAAAGGACGAAGAGAAAGGGAAGGAACGGAGGAAAGAAGAAGGAAGGATGCTTACCTATATTTAGTACTTCATAATGACAAAACAAAATTGACTTAAACTGCATATTAGATACTTAAAAATGTCGAAAATTCCCTTGGGGAGGCCCCCCAAGCCTCAAGCCTCAAGCCTCCCCTGGACCAGAGGGATATTCAATACCCCCTCCCTGATGGATAGGATCAAGAAAAAATCCCCCTCCCTTTCCCCCTCATTTGAGGTGTTTGGATCCGCCTGTCCAGCAATGGCATTAAATTCACTCCTCTTTATAAAAAAAAAAAAAAAGAAAACGCTCAGATGAATATAGAAAATAAACAGCTAATCTGACCTACCGAACAGTATGCCTAGAAATTCCTGCTTCTTCGCAAGCTTCGTCAGCATCCATCACAGTCATCGATGAGTCTTTGACGACAAGAACAGCATTCAAAATTCGTCTGCGTTTCGGATCCGGAGGCTGACTGTTCTGATGATCCATCTCTGACTTGAAGAGCTTCGCCGACATATCAATGGAAATTGGGTGCGTTGCTTTAATGACTGCTGTCTCCCCATTGGCAGGCATGAAGCAATCAATCTTGAACTCTGATTGTATCTTCTCTTTCAGGAACACCATCTTCGATGCTTCTCCATGAACCAACAAAACATTCTTTGGCTCGCAATACTGAATCAGTTGCATGATGCCTTTGGCATCCGCATGAGCAGAGAAAGACATGTATTGAACAGACATTTTAACGTCCACCACTTGCCGGTTTTCAAACTCTACTTTTGTAGCTCCGTTCAAAATCTTGTGACCAACAGTTCCGACAACACAGAATCCAGGCATGATGACCATATTATTCTCATTGGGAGCCCATTTTTTAAAAATCTGTAAAGATAAACCGGCGTGAAGCATACCTGGAGTTGCAAAAACAACCATCGCACCAGGATTATCAATATATTGTTTATCGAATGGTTTTATATGCTTAAAATCAAACATATTGCGCTGTACAAATGTTTTTCTAATCTTTTGATTTGTCCATGTGATAAACATTTTGTAATAATTGTTAGCCTTTTCTGTTAATCCTACAGCAAAATATACAGGTACTTTCAGATTCATTCGTTCCCAATATGTTTCCAATAGAATACAGAGTTCTTGCGCTCTTCCAAGGGCAAACACAGGAATTAAAACTTTACCACCTCTGTCGACGCACTCGTGAACCTTTTTCAGAAAGTCGCGTTCTCTGCATCGTTTTGAGTCTCGAATAGTGGTTGCATAGGTTGACTCCGTTATCAGGATATCCGGTCGACACTTATCAATCCATGCAGCGCCTAAATGACGATCTGGTGTCATATTGTAGTCACCCGTATACACCACAGATTGGCTTCCTGCTCGGATCCAAAACATGGCAGCCCCAAGGACGTGACCAGCATAATATGCCTTGATTTCCAATTGACTATCAACCATCACAGATTCATGTAACCCTACAGTAATGACTTTCTTCATGCAGTCTTTGATATTTTGCGAGGTGAAGAAATTCGATTCACCCTTCCTCTCAACGGCGACTTTGCGCATGTCTTCCAGCAGAATTGGTGCAATCGCTTTGGTAGGCTGTGTCATGTAAATGGGGCCACTGTAGCCAACCATTTCTGTCATGTAAGGAAGCGCACCACAATGGTCGAGGTGAAAGTGAGAGATTATAACGCAATCGATGAAGTTTGTGATAGGACCATCTTGCGTAATGTAGGAGAAGTCTGGAAACCTCCTGTCATCATTATACCCCATGTGCATTCCACAGTCCAACATGACATTCTTACCTCCAATTGATAGGAGAATGCAGCTTCGGCCGACATCCTGGCCTGCCCCAAGCGGCGTGACTTCAATTTCTTGCATGATTCCGCACTATTAATTCACACAATATCAACGTTCTGATTAAATTTTTCTAACACCAGACATTTAAAATAGCAGTTCAAGTACAATTCAACGCTCAAACAAGTTTCTTTAAATGAGTTTTGTGACAGCATGCGGAGAGAGCGTTGTAAAATAGTGAAACTCTGGGTAAAAAACATTTACATTGAACGAAATCTAAAATGCACGGATCAGTAAATCGTTTAAAATATATTATGCAAATTCGAGAGATGATTCAGGTAAAAAAAAAAAACACTTTCTTGAAAACGAATATGTGCGAACGAGTCGAGTGTTCAGCAGAGATTCACTCCTGAATTCCGAAGGCAGGACTTACAAAAAATCCTGCCGAATTTCCATCGGAAACTGTCTGGTGCGCAGTCGGGAGCATCGATGTTCCCTTTCTGCAGACTCTAGGCACTCCGCACCCGGAGAAGGATTTTCTGTCAGTCCTCGCCCTCGCCTCAGGCAGAGATTCAGCCCCTGAGCTCTGAAGGAAGGGCTGACAAAAACTCCTGCGGACCAAGACGGAATCTTTTAAAGTGAAACGTCCCTTTATGTAAAAGAAAAATCTGCACAATTGCTCTTATTTTATTTATAGGGTACGGAATTCGAAGTAAAACGACCGTAGGCGTAAGGAATACAAAAAATACTAATAGGAAATTTCAAAATTACTCTTTGGGGCCGTCCATAAATTACGAAAGGCAATTTTTCCGATTTTAATGACCCCCCCCCTCTTCTATCGTTTAAATGCATAATTTAATAAAAAAATGGTGTTGAAACAAATCGGTATTGTTTTAAACATTACTAATCGCTGGTAGGAGATCATGAAAAATAACAGTTGTACCTATTGAAAAAATAACAGTTTTTAAATTCAAAAAGTTCAAAAAAATTACATTTTAACCAAAAAACATTAAACGTCTAAAAAACGAAATTTGGACTAGTAAGTCTTTAAATTAACGGAATTTGGAAGAAACAAAATTTTTGCGTTTGGCTTACGTATAGGCATAGGTAAGGCACCTCTGGACCTCCTCCCGGCTCCCTGTAAGTGCATTAGGTACGTAATTTGCGGACGGTCCCTTTGTAAAGGCATACTTACATTTATTTGTTTATACTGCCCACTAATGTTACATTTATTTCTGTCTTCGGAGTCTGCTTTTTCCTCTAAAAAAAATTATTGGACGGTCTACGTAAGATTAGGGCCCTACATCCTAGGTCCAGAGGTTTCTCTGCAAGAGGAGCCCTTTTCAATTACGTGCGCAAAAATGCACGCCTCACTCTTATTTTATGGGAAAAAGTATTTCTTTACGGCCACTCGCGGCATTTATGACATAATGTGTAATATAATGACGTCAAAATATTGACAAACGGGGGCGCGAACCGCTGACCTCCCACCTCGGAGGCGAGCGTTTTACCCCTGAGCTGCAACTGAAGCATGGACCAATAGAATAAATAAGGACTCCCAACTCCCTATGCTACCCTGTGTTAAAAACCGTTAACGCGCGCTCGCAGCGAACCTGGCAGAGGGTGCGGCGAACTAACGCCACAGCGGTCCACGATCGTACCTCTATAGTATGTTATTCCATGCAATGTTCTTTGTTTATCTATGATTTATTTATTTGTGTAGATACTTTAATACATTTTACTTTCGCAAACTAATGAAATTGTATAGATACATACCTTCGGCAGAGGTCAATGCGAAAGACTTTGATGTGAAGTATCTTATCAGAACACGAGCAAAGATGATTCAGTCAACTTCTGACGCAGAATCAAAGAGACTTGCTAATAATCAAATTAAAGGTAATGCTTGAAGTCAAGTATCTTTGATTTTGTGACACTCAGTTGATTTTTATCAGTACAACACTATTTCTCACTAAAAAGATTTCACTTAACAGAGCGGCGCCTTCGGCTAAAAGTACAATCCTGATTCCTGCTGCACACTACATACACACTTCCTTTGGCTTTCTCAACAGCAGTTGCTGCTGAGTAAAACGGTTAGAAATAACACTTCACATTAATACCAGTTTATGTACACGAAGACTGACGAAGATTGAAATGAAAATGGGAAACTTTTCACACTAAACTCTTCAAAACTGCAGGGCGACCACGAGGATACGAGGATCTAGAAACTTCTATGAGCACTACTGAGTGATAAGCCTAAATAGGTGGTGCATGGAAATATAAACAGGAAGACCCAATCATCGGTTTAGTTCACTACACCCTCTGCCAGGGAGCGCTGATGTCAGCGCTAACCGGAGTTGGGGGTCCTTATTTATTCTCTTGGTCCATGACTGAAGACGAAAGGTTGCGATATAATTGGTAATACATAAGTGCAATTGAAGTTCTCTCTTTCTCCACCAGAGCTGAGAGCATACACGCATCGGTGTCACGCTCCCGCTTACTGATGATCTGCGGCAGGATTTTCTGTAAGTCTAGCCTTCCGGGCCAAGAGTGAATCTCTGCTAAACTCAAACGCCTGTGCGAACATGAACTCGGTCGAGAAGCCGCAAAACGTGGAATCTTTCCGACTGGCGACTTGGACGGTCAACCGTTGGAATTCGGCGATTTACCCCGAATCTCCACCGCGGCGGTGCATGTTCGGGGATCGAGCACCTCAACGTTTTCATGTAAACAACTAAGATGGCGGCGCATATTGCGCGGGTGTTTTGAATTTATGGATCGCGGGCAAGATCCACACTTTAAGCGGACTTGAAGCAACCACGTACTTAATTAAAATTTACATTTAAATATTTTTATCAAGTTAATATTAATTCCTGATAGTCGAATGAAGGAAGTTTTCTCCCGTTAAGACAAAAGCTGCAATGTCGCCGTTTATCAATGCATTCTAGGAGAGAAAAAGTAGCAGCCAGAAGAATGAGTCTTGAGCGACCATCCTCAGCATTCATTCCTTCTTTTCAGAGATTTTTTGTCATCAGTTATCAGGGATGTAAAATGAAATCTAACATGATATGAAAGTACACAGATTTCTTAGGAGGAGTGTACACCACCCATAAAATTATCTTATAATAAAATTAAGAGTTTGACTCTTATTTTGTTAAATATTGAGATTTTCTGATTCTACGCATTTCACGGCCTACTGAGCCTATTGCAGAAGTTATACTTTCATGAAATTTTACCTTATATGAAATTGCATGCAATTTTGCATCTCTGTTCATTATGGAACCCATTCAGCAGGCTATCAAGACTGAGGCTGCTTTAAAAATGTAAATGGTGCTAGCAAGAAAGGGGTTGGGCCTCTAGGAGGAACATATTTTTTCAAATTAAAATTTATCATGAGGGTGAAAATTCTCACACATCAGGCAAATAGGGATTGTCCCCTCCCCCTTATTCAGAGAGAGTACTAACATTTTTCTGGGACAATTTTGGTCAATTTCACTGTGAAGTGTGTCAGCAGCGCCCAACTCCCTCCCCGCAGGCACAAGACCTCTCCAGTTAGATTTCCCGGGTCCAGCTGAAATGGCACAGCTACATTTAATCATTCAATCTAATCTTTCAAATCTACGTTAAGTCGTACGTTTATGGTAGACTTCAGATTTCGATACTTGTCTGTTACGCATTTGCAAACATTTGTTTTTTTTTGTAACTGTCTTCAAAACACCAGCGTCATTGTCCGGTGGATTTTCCATCAGAGTCTACACACTTAGACTCATCACTGACCAATTTCTCTGGAATATCTAGCATGAATGGTTAAAATGTAGATTTCACTTTGCAGATAAAGTAGCTGAGGGCCCGAAAAAAAAAATTTCACTTATATTGACTTCATTAAAGACCTTTCTGACCTTAAAAGAGGCATGTGGACTTTAGGTCTGGCTGTGTTATGAGAGGCTGCACAACAGAATCAAATTATTCTCTCGAGATAAATTCCTTACCTCTGAACGAGAAAAGCCATTGATTCAGCTTTGTTCTGACCCCAACACAGATGAAACAATCAGCCCAACAGGCAGCAAGCGTCAAGAGATATTTATGCATTTATCCTCTCAGTTATTTGCACTTGGTCTGGAAAATACTGAAATAATGGTTTATACTGCTGAGAGCAATGGAATTTGTTGGATGTTCGACGTCTTTCGCAAATATTGACACATTACGGCAAGAGGCTGGTGTTACCTTTGATGCATCAACGAAGAGGTATCACAAACAACTTCGAAGTTAAAAGTTACAAAATCAAGCAGCGCTACTACATTTAAATTTGAGAATACTAGATATTCATACCAATTAGGTAATCAGAGACGTTTGGTGACTTTTATACGTAAATTCCGGTGGAAAACCCACTCCATGAAGACATTGGTACAGTGTACAAGTGGAGTGAAACAGTTGCAAAAAGTAAACAAATACTTACGTTCGCGTAACGGTGAGCTTAGCTTATGGAGGCTAAAATGGAACGACTGAAACGATTAAATTAATTTTGAATTATTATACTATAATCGATCGGCACACGATGCTTGGGCATGCGATCGGTCATCGGTAGGCTTGGCTTCGTAAACAAATATGGCGGCGGTCCGTCACAACGTTGAGAGTGCCGAACCCCCGAAAACGCACCGCCGCGGTGGAGATTCGGGGTAAATCGCCGAATTCCAACGGTTGACCGTCCAAGTCGCCAGTCGGCAAAACCCAAAGACATAAAGACGGAGCACTAAAAGCAAAAAATGAAGCTTCTAGAGCTTCTTTTCAATCACCTCTACTATTGGCTAGAGGATTGGCGGCGAAATCGGGACAAGTTTGAATTCAAATGTAGGGCGGGAACTAATAAATAAAATTGCGGAAACAAAGTATTTTAGGTTGATTTTTGCCCAAATTCAGGTACACACTCATATTTTATTAACTTTAGGTTAGTTTCGGTCCGTCGTCGACCGACTGATTTCATTTGGGAGTAACATAGATCTAGAACTGTAACGGCCTGTTTGAACCTGCAGAACCACCATAAGCAGAAGAAAAACTAACTTTATCTGAGATTACTGCCTGTTACCGAGCAAAAGTAGGTGCAATATATTAGGACGCAGACCGAACTTTCTTAATATAATCGTTTTAAGCATTTAAAACACGTTTCGAAGAAGAAATAAGGAAAAATCAAGAGGACAAGTTCAAATCAAATTTCCGTTTGCCGCCATGGATTCCCGCGCTCATTTACACACTCACACAAACGCGCAGCGCCGAACCTAGCTTCACTTTTTCCCCGTGCTTTTAGATACGAGCACTCCGTCTTTATGTCTTTGGCAAAACCCCAAAACGTGAAAGACAAAAGTGAGGTTAGCCGTCTTGTTAGTAAACACAGGATAGCGAGCCTCTGATTGGCTGACCGATAATCCTGTTGTTAGCGGGAAATTTTGAAAAGACGCTCCCTCAGCCCGGGTTCCGCGGGCTGCTGTTTTTGTGTTTATTTATGTCAGTCATTCTCAATTATTCAAATTAATAAGTTTAATAAGTTAAATAATTAATTCACATTAATTAATAATGTCAATCAATATTTTTTAATTACACCTAATAGTACCATCCAGAAAATCATGTAAAAACGGTTTTAAATGTTTCAGAAGCCTTTTTGGGACATCTTTCAAAAGAAAACGTCAGGGGCCTACGACTGCATCTTAGTTGAGACGACATTGGAAGAGACAGTCCAGTCTTATCCATGCAATAAATTGCATTTCGTTATCTTATCATGATCTTTTAACTTTTGATGACTAGCCTGCTGGTAAAATTTATACCAGAGAAGATGCTTTTATAAAAAGAAAAGTCATTTAAGTACATCAAGCAGAAATCCGCTATCATTCAGCGATTTTATTCTTGATTCAAAATAAAATCTTCTTGACGGCATATTCAAGAATGTTTCTGCCTAAATCGAGTCTTTTTTTTTATCTAATAAAATTTAAAAATCATGCTGAACGTTATTAAATATGGATGCTAGGACTTACTACTGAGTTTTTGAACTACCCCTCTCTTTTTGTGCAGTAGTATCTTGCTTAATTTTATGAGGAAAGCTCCGTACTCTTAAAGTTAAAGGATGCCTTTCTTTCTTGATATGTTGAGTGCCTTCAACTTCCTATGATACTGCACAACACCTCTCTCGTGGAATAGTTGAGCGCCTCAAGCAACCCGCCGCGGCGCGGCGGGGCGGCCGGCCAGCCAGCGCGACACGCGCATCGGCGCCTACAAACCTAACAGGGATACTTCACGCATTGCGCAATGCGTGAAGTATCCATGTTAGGTTTGTAGGCGCCGATGCGCATTTCGCGCTGTCAGCACGCCGCGCCGCTCCGCTGTGTTTGGCTCTAATATTGAAACTCGCAGGGTCAGAGTTTTTCAACTCATGATTTTGAGATGTTTGCACACTCTGCATGGATAATTCTCATCGAAATTGATTAAAGAAAAATATGTATTAAAGGAAACCCCAATGTGTGTTTTGTAAATATTTCGGTGGTTCCGTGTCAAATTAATGATTTCCATAGCACTTTAAATTTTTCTTTTATATTATGTGCTTTTACTGCGCTGCAGGGTGCTTTTTTTCTCCTCATTTATTAATTTTGGTGAAGTTCCTTTCAACACTACTACGGCTCGTGGAGATTAACTGACTAGTCCAAATATCGTTTTTTTTAGACGCTTGATGTTTTTTTGTTGAAATGTAATTTGTTCTGAACTTTTTGAATTTAAAAACTGGTTATTTTTTCGATACAACTGTTATTCTTCATGATCTCCTACCAGCAATTAGTAATGTTTAAAACAATACCAAATTGTTCCAACACCATTTTTTCATTAAATTATACGCATATAAACGATAGAAGAGGGGGAGGTCACAAACAGTAAAATGGTACAAAAATCCATGCTTCATTAGCCTCCTGCAGGTTGGAGAATTTTTGTTGGAATTTTATACGTGAACTTTTACAGATTTTTATCAACAAGAATCCTTTGAGAATGAAACAATTTTCCTGAGTCTTCAGAATGAGAAAAATCAAAACATCGAAAGATACAATAAAAATACAACTTTATTCATTTTCATAAAATACTAAGTCAGCAAAAATATCAGTTCTTTCAATAATAAAGCTACGAGAACAAAAAACTAGACAAAGCAGTTGTAAATATCAGACCAGCAACATTCTTTTCAAAATTGGGCTTACAAAAAAAGAAAAGAGTATAAAATAATTTAAAAGGGCTCTAAAGAGCAGAGGCACATTTGATTTTAAAAAGAAATCATTTCTTCATAATAAGTAATAATAAATAACCTTTACACTATATTGAAGGTTTCACAGAGAAATAGATGTTAGAAGAATTCGAATAAGTAAAGTACTACAAAAAAGCATTGCACAAAAATACCATTGGTATTGCTACAAAATTAACCCTTTGTGGTTACAATTGATTGCCCCTGTTGCCCGCCTCGCCCCCCCCCCCCCCCCNTTCGTAATTAATTTTGGCTTATTTATTGGGAGGTTGTGTTTTGTTAAGTGGGTCGACTGAGGCTTAGTATACGACTGCAAGCTTGCTAAAATTTATTTCGGGTCAGGCCCGACTTCCGACCAGAACATGTCAAAAATTTTGTCAGATTACGCCCGACAGTCGACCAAAAAGGGTTAACTTGGACATACTTAGAATACATTGTTAAAAAATTTGGTTTGTTTGTAAACTCGATCATTCAAACATAAAAGCCAAAATCGTTAAAATTCACAGATTAACCGATACAGGATGATTACTTAGTATAGTAAACAAATAAATTAATACATTGGTACAAACTTGAAGAATGAGCAAATAAAATTAATAAAATAGAAAAACGAACAAAATTTTTAAGGGTCCTTTGCAAAAGGGCTTTTGACTTCTGGAATTTTTAGGAAACCTTCCCTTAGACTCTTGTAAAAGGCAAACAAGAAAGGGGAAAATTCGATATATGGCTAAGAAAATAACAAAAACGAAAGACTGTATTAATATATACACTGAGATACTTACAAATAGGTATGATACTTATCAAAAAAAAAAAAAATTAAATAATTACAGCTGAGCTAAAGCTATGAGCTAGCTAATCTTTGAGGCTCCGCTGAGAACTGACTTAAACCCTCCTCTCACCAGTATTTTCATATTGATAAAAATCGTAAAAAAAATCGCAGGTTCGTCCACTAACAAAAGGGAGAGCGAACGCCAATTAAAGAGGACAAAAAAGGGTAAATTGAAAAAAAAAAAAAAAATAGGATTAAATTTTAAATTTTAAACTGAACTGAAAACATTAAAAAACTGTGCAACCATGGATCATGGTTTTTCAAAACGCAAGTTATAAAAAAAAAGATCGAAAGGAAAGGAGCAAAAACGGTAATTTCAAAAACTCAACACCATATGCCTAAAATTAACAGCACCAATTTAGTTAAGTAAGGAAAATTTTGTTGAAAATTTAAGTTTGATAAAATTCCATCCGTACAGACGTTTCAAAATGTTTGAATCTAAGGAAAACATTTTTATGAGTGAAGGGCACAGTAAAAGGAAAACAGGTATTGTAAATTTTCGTATCATAACTTCCACGTCCATAGGAGTCCCAACCTTTTTAAGAAAAATGTGAATCTACTTATTTCAATGTTGATGATTGTAAGTTTTTAACTTTTTTCATCAACTTTTTTTTATTTTTAGTTTAGAAAATTCAAACATTTAAATCTGATGAACAATGCAAGTAGAAAACATTGAATCCATGATACTGCCGCGGAATCTTATGTTTTGATTTATAATATTCCAATACACTTAAAAACGCTGAACAAATAATTGGCTTTTAGGGGTTAAAAAAAAACCTATTTTCACTTAAAAATAATTTAGTGTTGCATGCTAACTAATCTTTGATTTAATTGAACAGAATTTTGGGACCATGTGTGTAGCATGATCTCAATTTTCTAAGAACATTTTTTGAACACTTTTGAGCGACTGAAGTATTTTCTGGTAAAATACAACCACAATATATCACCAAGTGAATCTTGAGTCATGGTAAAGTCCATAAAATTCAATAAAAAATTTCCTGACTAAAATGAAAAATCTGCCTGGAATTTTCATTTAATAGTACCAACATGCATTAAAAACATGGCATTTATGCTGATAAATTTAAATAGACCTTAAACCTTGGCATTTTTTTTTTGTTAATCACAGTGACAACTTTTTGAAGTCTTTTCTAACCATTGTGAAAATATAAAAGGTAGAGAAATAGAGGACAAAATTACAGTCTTTGGATAAAGTTCCCTGAATTTTAAATAGAGAAAATTGCTACAACTTTCCCTAATTTTTCTTAGCTTGGCATATGCCCTGAAACAGGGATACTAGAGTTATTTTTCAAAATGGAGTAGAATAAAGATTTAATCACAGTTCACAGGGCAAGATATTGACATAGTTGTTTGATATTGAATGCAGAAGGTCTCAATTCCGCAAAAGTAAGGTACATTAAGTTACGGTAAAATAAACGATACTGTAAGAAAATTTTTGGACGATTATTTCTTTTTAAAAAAAAAAACTCAAATACACCTAAAAAATTAAATGAAAATTTGCTTGGCAAGAGAGAGTTTTTTCATTCTTGCTACTTTAACCCCTGGTCAGGTACGCATAGATCAATTAAGGTCAATACTAAATGAAAATGAACATACCGGGATTCATTTTTCTTTTCATTAAGCGCTAATTCATTTTAATACGAATATTTCCTCTTAGGGAAGGATACAATTTTGGTAAAACAGGAGAATTAGGTTGAATTTTTAAGGATTCAAGAATAGGCATCATACAGCGTGTCAACAACAGTAAAGATCTGATCAAAGTGCGGACGTTTTTCTGGTTCGTACTCCCAGCAACGCAGCATCAGTCGATACATTTCATCTGGGGTGCTTTCGGGTGCTGGCATCCGGTAGCCTGGAAAATGAGAAACATATAACTTTGAGAGAGAAAAAAAAGAGTGATCTACGGAGGCTAAAAGTGAAGTACAAGGAATCCCTGTAGAGTAAATGTCAAACAAAGAGGTCAAGAAACAGAATAGTGATAGGTTTGATTCATCTTCTCACTGAGGTGACTTTCAAAAAGAGTGAAGGATTAGATTGTGTCAAAATTATACGTACCAGCATCAATTTTTTCCCTAGCTTTTGTATTGCTGAGGCCGTTGTATGGGGTGCCACCTCTGGAAAAGATTTCCCAACATAATACTCCATAGCTCCAGACATCACATAAAGATGTGTATTTTCCTGGAAAAATGTCCCAGATTTCAAAACATAATCAATCAGTCGACAACAATACAATATTATGGAGATATTAGAAAAATCAATACATTAATTTGCCATGTGAATACTGAATATCCTGTGATAACGTATAAACAGAAAACTGTGAGTGGTACTACATGAAACTTTGTTCTCTATAAGAAGGATATACTACAAAAATTCAAGGCCATAAAAACGATACACCGTCCCTAGAGAAAATTAAATTGAAACATTTTTTTAAGACATCCCAATTGAGGTGCATAAATGTTTTTCTATCTTTACGATCAAATATAAAGGATGTCCCAAATGTATTGGGACTGGCGCCATGACTTTGAAACAAATGCAACTGCTGAAGGTTGCATTTAAAAGAACAGCTTGTTTCCAATCATCTTCCTCAAAATTACATTCACTGAACTGCGAACCTGAATCAGTTAAGACTTTGGCTTGGTGTAATATTTTCATGGATTTTTTGGGCAAAATTTTAGTAAAACACCCCCTGGACACGAGTTCATGAATTCGACTTTTAAAAATAACGTAAACGTTTTTTTCTCCAAGACTGTCACTTTTCACTGAATACACAAATTGGAGAGCCAATTTTTTCCCCCATTCGTTACATCAATTATCTTGATACATTTGATTCAATACAGCAAAATATAACTTACCGAAATTCAGTGCTTCTGGTGCTGTCCATTTGATTGGGATCTGTTTCATGCCATCTGAAACTATGTACTCTTCCTCTTCTCGAGACATACCGAAGTCTGATATTTTGACGATATCATCTTTACCTGAAAACAAAAGTTAATTTGTTATTTTCTACGATGAATTTAAAATTACTTTGTTCCCACTAATTTTTTAGATGGGCGGATATTTCCAAATCCTAAATACAGTACTTTCTCTCAGTAACAAGAACTCGAGGGACCGGCCGATTTTCTCGATATAGAGAGGTTCTTGTTATAATGATGGTTGATATTTAAAATAGGAAGTTCAAGGGACCGACCGATTTCCTTGTTATAGAGAGATTCTCGTTATAACAATAGTCGTTACGGAGAGAAAGTACTAGATTCAAAATTTACTTTGTTAGTGCGCAAAAACATTGTATACTGCTTTTAAAATCGTTTGGATGCCCTATTTAAACAAGTTCATAAAGCTCAGTAAGTTACTATGAGTAATCAAGTTGCAGACGAGCTATGAATTTCGTCCAACTTGTCAAATGTGACTGATAGCTCAATCATGTAAATTGATTCATTTTTTTTTTTTTTTTGGTTTTTTTTTTGCAAAACTCTGCTCTTCCAAAAGGTTAACTTTTTCAGAGGTATTAAGAGTTTTTGCCAATGTTAAAACAGGTTGAGAGTGTAATGAGCATAGCACTCTGAAATAATTTCAAGTAATTCTTTGAGAGTTTTGGAAGAATTTATAGTATGCTGCCTCCAGCAAAACTGATAAATTAGCACTTGAGGAAAACAGGTTTCAGCAGAAAATGGTGCCTCTGTTGTTAATAAAGTAATTGAAATATTATCATTTCATAGTCTCACAGGGTGTCTACTAAAACAGGCAGTCCAAAAATCAGTACTTCTACAGTACATTTTTAGTACATTCCCAAGAAATTCAGTACCTCCTCAACAGAGAAATTCAGTACTTTTTCAGTACCATCATTTGACGAAATTCGCAAAATTTAAAAAATGTGAATTTCTTGCTCAAATTGCCACAAAAATGACAAAAATTCCGAACTTTCTAGCAAAATTTCCGCATTTTTTCAGTGCTGCCGGACCACCCTTATAAAATCAGTACTATTTCCAGACTTTCCAGAAATTCCGGGCTTGTCCCGGGTAAGTTTGGATCATAAGTACATAATTGTTTAGGGATGGTTCAGCACTGCATAATGGAACTTTGTGGGGTAGTAAAGTGTAAAAAAAAAACCAGAACATTTCAAATTGAATGATGTGAGAATGGTTACCATAATCAGTTAAGGGTAAAACGTTGACTCACCGACTAGACAGTTTCTGGCCGCCAAGTCTCGATGGATACAATTCTTGCTTTCTAAATATCGCATACCAGCAGCTGCATCACGGCACATTTGAAGAAGTTGTTTTTGTACTAGACTTGATGCGTTGTTTCTCAGGAACATTAGTAAAGAGCCTCCTGAAAATCAAAATTAATATTTCAAAATTAGTTATGAAATTTAAAATATCAGAAATTTTTTTTTTGATAAAATTCTCCTGCCACAGGAATGCCAATCGCACCTTCACTTGGATTGCAGGATTCTTTAAAAAATTAAACAAACAATGCTCTGATAAAAACTTTTGAATCAAAGATAAAGTTGAAACGTTTCACTAAAAAGAAGTTAAAATACATGTGGAGCCAATACGATCTCTTTCTTGAGTGAAATGCTGCGGTGTTAGAGAACACAAATAATTTTTTCTTTTTTTAATTAATGTATACATTCATACAACTTGTTAATTAAAACCAAAAAATGAAAATGATTAGAACCAACAGCATACTCACGGATTACAGTCCTTATAGCATTATGTTTCTTAAATATTCAAGAGGGTAATGCAATTTATTACAACGAATTCATGGAAATACTATAGAAAGACGGCTGTGGCAAAATTCAAACTTCCGACGACCACAAACCAAGACAACTCATTAGAGTGCGGCTGTTCAGGTATAGCTCTGTTATTCTTTCTGTATAAGCCTGCTGCCATTATTATAGGACAAATGGATGTATTTCTGTTGAACGGAACTAAGCGCCAATTTGAGTTCCTTTTGAGGAATTTAGAATCCCGGATAGCGCGTTCTGTCAAACGGAACTAAGCGCCATCGAAAAGCATTGCGAGTAAAGGAACAAATGAGCTCGGCGCCCGGTTCCGCCGCCAATCCAAGCCCCCCTCTACCTTCCTACCCTGATGGCGCTTAGTTCCGTTTGACAGAAATACATCCAAATAATGGCCTTTCAATAAGAACACAGCCCTCAAAGACAGACTTTTCCTGAAAAAAGTTAAAGTGATTTGATGTACACCATATTTTGTGTCAAAACGACAAGCAAAATATCGTATAGATTGGTTCCATTTTTTCAGCTACTCATCATTTTTCTCGAATTTTGAGATCGCAATTCTGTTGTCAGAAGACTGAAGAATTCACTTGCCAATTCTGACAGACAAATTCAACGTAATATAGGCGTGGTTTTTGAGAGAGATGATACACATTCGAGTGCAGTTTTGATATCAGTATCGAATGCGATATTTTTCCTCTACAAAAACCACACTTATATTACGTTGAATTTGTCTGTTAAAGTGAATTTTTTAGTCTCCTGACAACAGAATTGCGATCTCAAAATTCGAGAAAAATGACAAGTAGCTGAAAAAATGGAGCTAATTGATGCGATACATCACATTTTGTTCTGACACAAAATGAAGCATTCATCGAATCACCTTCACTCTGAAAAGTTGGTTATGAAATAACTGAATAAAATTTACCATGGACTAATTCCATTACTATCATAATGGGTTGTTTCTGAACGCATATCCCGATCAATTTGACAATGTTTGCATGATCGTACTGTTTCAGAATTCGTCCTTCTTGCAGGAATTTCCGCTTATGCTCCTCCGCAACAGTGACCCGACATGTTTTAACAGCAACTTCTTGGTTGGTATTCCTTAGGCGTGCTTTATACACGTCTCCGAAGTTACCCTAAAAAAGAAGTTGTGCTGTGAGTGTGCTGAACAGACATGCAGTTCCGATGGAAAGAAAACATTCAGTTGTTGGATAAAAGCACTTTCCTAATTCTTCTTCCATACATGAAGCTGAGAGCTGGAGATGCAGGGACCGCCCAAGTGGTGATCCGTGAAACTTGGCCGACGAAAGGCATAGCAATGGGTATGTAAAAATTTGGGGAAAAGTTGATGACCCTTATTTCAGAAACTAAGGAAATCTTGGTGAATTTGAAAAAGAGGATATTCCAGCAAAAATGTTAAAAAAAAAAAATTAGGGTATTTTGGTATAATTTTGAATAATCCAGTCTTGAGAAAAATGTTTAAAAATAAAATTTCAGTGGAGCAAAGCTTTATTTAATGGCTTTGCATTCGATCACTCCACTATTTGAGCAGAAAAATTTGTTTCCACTCCATAGGAGAAAATGTTCAAGCACTAAGCAATACTCTCTTCTTTTTATTTGAAACTCAGACCACTCAACGACTTGATCAAAAAGTACCTAGGATGAACAACTTAAACAGCAAAAAAAAGTTTTAAATTTCCACAACTGAGAAACTTAAATTCAAACATTATTGCCAGAGGACGTCTGGAAAATAAGGAGAAAAAAATGGCAGGAAAAACAGAATCAAAATTACTTTCTAGCGCTTTAACCCTTTCATTACCACGCCAAAGTATTCTCGTTTTCGAATAGTAACTTATAGTCCATTTCACGAAACCTGCGACTTTTTATTCGGCATTAAAATCCGTAAATGGCAACGCATCAGTCTCGGACTCGGGCGACCGAACCGCTCGCCGGACACCCTCTTTTGTTCAGCGACCATTGGCCCGCAACCCGTCCATTGTGAGGGTAGGAACAATGGGCACCCTTCATCCCTTCCTAATGAGCCCTAGTACCTGGACCGAAATTTTTTTCTCGCTGAAAAATTCATCTTTTGGCGTGAAAATTTTGTTCCAGCGTGAAATTATGATGAAAACGCACTAAAATTCCGTCCAAGTATCGTAATTTTGAGCTGATATACGGCATTTGCGTGTGACTGGGATTTGCCGCAAAATAACGTAAGTCAGCTCAAAATTACGATACTTGGACGAAATTTTAGTGCGTTTTCATCATAATTTCACACTGGAACAAAATTTTCACGCCAAAAGATGAATTTTTCAGCCAGAAAAAAATTTCGGTCCGGGTACTAGGGCTCATTAGGAAGGGATGAAGGGTGCCCATTGTTCCTACCCTCACAATGGACGGGTTGCCGGCCAATGGTCGCTGAACAAAAGAGGGTGTCCGGCGAGCGATCCGGTCGCCTGAGTCCGAGACTGATGCGTTGCTATTTACGGATTTTAATGCCGAATAAAAAGTCGCAGGTTTTGTGAAACGAGCTATAGTTTTTACGCTCTAGCGCCACCATCAGCTCTCTGAATGTTATTTGTGATGAGTGCTATCTAACTAGGAGGATATGAACTACAAATTGAGACCAATCTCGATAGAGTGAGCCAAAATCGGTCCTCACAAATCGCACGTGAAGCGCATGGGGAATTCCAGCATTCCAATTCTTCCTTCCCTATCCTGGTGTTAGGGTGGCCCGCACTAGACGCCTACCCCGGTAATGAAAGGGTTAACAATCAAAAGAGAAAAAAATCTCAGAAAACGTATATATACTCATTTCCTTCATCTTGGAAACATTTTTTCCTCTTTCTTTCCCTTAGAGCTGATGAAAGTTTCTGCAGCAAACTTACTCTTCCTAATTTATCCATGAGAATGACATCATCGTTGTTGAGTTCCCATGTCTCTCGAGGGATAGGAGAACGGAGAATGGCACCCGACCTGCTTGTTACTGGAAGTCCGCTTTGATACTGGTATTGAATTAGTTCTTGGATGGTTGGAAATGCCGGACCCTCAAACCTAAATTCACCCTAGGGGAACAAAAGAAGTAATTAAATTTCTCCAAGACGGAATGAGCCTCCTCCTCTTGAAAGCAAGAGACATTACCACTTTGGTGCGAAAGATGTCCAATGAGATCCTAAAAAAATTCAAGGTTTTCACAGTTCTTTTCCTTCATCACTGAAAAAATTAAGCAACTCTTCTTATAAAAAAAGTATACAAGTCTCTAATTCTTCTGTGACAAATTTCTGAGCAACTTAAAGTGACAATTACAAAATAGCTGCCCCAGCGAAATTCTCTCCTGCCCCTTTTCACTAGGCATATGCCAAAACACTTTTCCGAACTTGCGTATAAGTCTCTGCCCGCTACAACTGAGTATATTCTCACAGCAGAGATACGACTTCCAGGCACTATAGCCGAATATACTTGCATTCGTGACTTCATTTGAATTTTACACCAAGTACTATAACGGGAAACTTGAACTGTCACGGATGTAAGTATACTCAAGCACAGCTCCCTGGAAAAGTTCCTCTATAATGAGAATATGCGGCTGTAGCAAAACAATGGACCAGCTGTGATGGAAAGAGGACCGGCACACGGCTGATTTGCCATTCGTAACTCAGAAAAAGATGGAATGGTACAAAAAATTTCAGGCCATTTGCATATTTTTTGTCATTTTTCAATACTTCTAACCTACCTACTTTGAAATTTCTACTCTCAATTGGATCTTCAGAAACATTTTGAAACCAAAGTCATCTTGCAATATTCAGAAGAGTTTGACTGAGGATTATGAAAAAATTGGTTTATTATGATATTTTTGATGAGAGCTCAGACTTCTTCAACTAGTAATGAAGTTTGATCTTGATCTCATGGTAAAAAGTTAAGTGTGAAGTTTCGTTGAAAACGTCATTTTCAAACGTATTTCAAAATCTATCAGCTTACCTCTGCTGTGGTTTGAACGATAAAGTGTTTATGGCCGCCCCAGCACACAGAGAGAACGGTTTGATTTTCATCATTACGGCATGTTTCCCTCACAAGGAAGTCACCTTCTTTTGTCAAGAGACGGACTACTTCTTCTCGAGGTAGAACACCATGAAACCATTCTTCCTCCACTAGCGATCGTGTTGACGATATACTCTAAAATAATAGCAGAGCAAAAATTAATGACTATGATAGGCTAATTTGAATAAGCAGAGATAAAATAATTCTAGCGCCATTCTATTTTACACTTCAACTGTTAGCGGTGCCTGTGATATTTTCATTGCAAGAGGAAGAGACCACTTTTGGTGGTGATCAGTTTTCTGATACTGCCTTGCTAAGAAAAAACGTCATAAGAACATTTGGATGTTGCCGAATTTCCTCTCAGAAAATATTTGTTCTTGAGAAAAGTTATGAATATTTCTCTTTTAAATTTCCAGATACTTTAGATCAAAATACGAAACAAAATTATCTGGAAAAATTGGAAGGAGAATACATCTTCTGAAAATTGATTGATGTAAATCAAATCTAAAAAATTTTGATGGCAAAATTCTGAAAATACTACCATGCTCAAATTACTAATACAATAATACAGATTATCCGCCGAATTTGTCACACGCCTGACAAAAAGGCGTTGCTACATGTTGAGATGAGCTTGGAAAAACATTGAATATTATGGACAAAAGAATTGATTGCAGAGTGCAGTTATGACTTTATGTCAGGAGTGCGGCAAATTGTGGCAAAGGCCTGAGGCTGATACTGAATATGCGGGAAAACAGAAAATGCATAAGAAACATAAAACCACACGAGAAACATAAGAAAAAAAAAACGAGAAAAAAACGCTTTGACATGCCTCATATTGGATAGATAAAAGATGAACAGATAGCCAAGGTATTCCTGTGGGGAGAAATTCCCTGGAGATAAAGCAGTCAAACCAGGGTTTCTCCTTTTTTTCAACTTTCAAATTCCCTGTGCATCCCCTGTATTTTCCATGATTGATTGCATAAATACCTTTTCATCCAACTTCACTACCATCAATCCTCTTCTAAAAAATCATGGGGCTTAAAAATGTTCAAAGGGCTAAACTTCCCCCTTGAAAAAGTAAAAATTCCAGGGTCAACCTTAATTTCTCTAGGTTTTCCTGCAAGATTTCATTCCTTGCAGTTTGTAAATAGTAGAAATCCTGAAAATTGTGTAAAACAGTGGACATGGCAAAACCAAGGTTGCCATAGAATTTGGAAAATTCAATTCTCTGACACATTTTGGTGAAATTACCTGACAATGTGCAGATGCCAGATTGTTAAAATGAGTTGTAGTTAGAAATAATTTTCAGGTAAAATTTGTTGTTCGATACGCCAAACCTACTCGAGAAAGCATCTAAAGGGGACTTACCGGTTTTTACCTAACATTTCCAAGTTTTCCCTGACTTCTAACATTCCCCGACATTCCTCGGTATTCCCTGACTGTGGCAACCCTGCAAAGCCCATTTGAGTAATATTTTTCTGTGTTCATCTTTTCATGAAGAGCAATTCCTTTTTCCTCTTTCCTTGAAGATGAGGTAATGAAACTTACCGAGTGGTTATTATTGTTAGTAACAGGCAGATCACACGACACACTAAAACTGATAGCATTAGAATTGGAAGTCTTGTAGGGAACAGGGTTAGAGCTAGGAACCGCAGGCTGAACAGGTGTTGGCGCTTCTACGTTCACGATTACGATGGAGTTCATCCGGTCATCATTGCCGGTCATTTCGCAACTCACAGCTTGGCCATTGAGCTGAGGAGGGGCAGTCTTGGCGCTTGAATTTTCCTGGGCGCTCGTCAGCGAGCGAAATCCTACAAGGGGAGAGCTCAGAACGGATTTTCGTCGGAATGGCTTCTTGAGAACATCCATAATCGTGTTTTGCGTTGACGAGATGAGTGACAGATTCGTTGTCGACAGCAGGGACGGACGAGAGGTTGTGTTCTGAAAAAGATGAGAGCTGGGTCAGTGGACAAAAAGAAAGTTATGCACAATGGAGAATTGGATCATATTTAGAAAAAAGGAACTCGCACAATTACTGTGTTGAAAAAAGGTTGCTTCTTCATAATTATCTAAAAAATCTCTCATAATAGCAAATTTTTTTGCTTCCCACCAAAAAATTGATAATTTTATAGGAAAATAGTTGTGTGAATTTTAATACTGTACATAGTGAATATTTTTAAAAGGAAAGAAGAAGTTGCCCGATATTGAAAACACTATAATCGCGCTGGTTCCTTTTTGCTTAATGCCATCCAATTGGTAAGTCTGTTTGATGAATTTCGTGTTTAAGAGAGAACTACTGACTAAATTGAACTTGGAGATACCTTGGGTTCATAAATTGAACAATTGTTGGAAGAGATACGACAAAATGATCAAATCTGCTGGAAATCTGTGTTTAATTAGACCAGATAATTTCACTAGGCAGTGCATTTTGTCACTTTAAAGTCCATTTTTATACTATTTCCCATGTCAGAGAAAAATAATAAAAAAATACTGGGAACCAGCTCTTTATACACTCTTGGATGAAGCAATAAAACATTTACATGCAACTTCTCCATTACATTGAAACCTTATCATTTTTCACTTTATGATAACTTTTACTGATTGGTCTTATTTCCTTTAGTTCAAGAGGAATAAAATCAATAAATTCACTCTCTGGACAATCTGTGTGCATGCATATCTTGATCTAATTTTGATCTCTGAGGGTCCAAACGGTTCAGTTTTTGGAGTGGATATTATTGAAACATTTTACTCGAATTTATTAAAGAATATTTTTGAAACTGTAAAAGAGCATGACGTAAAATTTCTAGAGAAAATGATGACCAGTCCTTATTCAAATTATCATTTGAAGGACGGAAATTTGCAGCCTAGGAGACCAAGAAATACAGAAATCTACTTTTGTTTGGAATTTGCTAGTTTTTTTGTTCATTAAAACCAAATATCACACAGGTTAAAATGTTTAAATATTTAACACACCTTGCAAAACTTCTTACAAAAATGAAAGAGAGAAACTTTTTAGGTGAAGCATGTTCTTCAAAAAGAGTCACGATGGGGTCAAAGGCGTTAGCAATGTTTTGTTCATGAAAATGAGTGATATTGAAATTTTTTTCTAAAGAATGTTCATCGTTTTGCTGCATTATTTACTCCTTACCATAGATTCATCAAACAAATTGCTGCCAGGCAAATCACAGCCAGAGGGTAATTCTTCGCATCCTAAATCAGAGAGAGCTTTTTTTATAGTTTCCATTTGACAACTAAGTTTGCGTTCCTCACATTGTAATTCATTGTAAGGCAGTTTACTGAAACAGAGAAACGACAACATTGAAAAAAAAAAAGATTGACGGATTTAAAAGCTTTGTTTTAATTGACTACTAAATTCTTCAAGTGCAATTAATATCATTAACTTAGTCAAATTGAACCTGATGATGGAGTAAAATGAGTCAAGCCTCTATTAAGGTTTTCATTATTTTGTACTTAACTTTTTTCTGTTGACATAGAAAAAGAGCCGTGACCATCAGCTAAAATTATTGAATCATGGATCTGTTAAATTATAACTATGCAAGAATGAGAGGAAAATAAGCCTACTTGAAACATCAAAAGTGACTTATTTAAGCTTCAATGAGGACTGCAGATAAAAGTGGCTGGTACCTCTGCAGTCGTATCTTGTCATAAAGTTTCTCAAAATGAAGCTTGTCCAGAAACAATGTTAATTTTTTCAAGTCCTAGTCGGTTGTTTTTCAATACATTATTTTTCGGAATGCCTACCGTCTTTTAGGAAACAACGTTCCCTCTTCTAATTCTCCTTCAAAAACGTTACAAGATAAGACTTTAATTCCAACTTACCTAGAGTCTTTGTTCCCATTAGTTTTATTAGAAGCTAAATTGTCTAAGCATTCTTTATGCTTAGTTTCTAGGGCAGATAATTTGTTTTTGACCCATTCTATTGTTAGATTATCGACGGCTAGTTGATTCGCTTGGAGGCGACCCGATGATTCTTCAACTAGACTCAAGTCAAAGGAAAAATCTACAGGTTCAGGTAAAACATTTCTGAAAAAACAGAGGAGAGGACAGAAAATGAAATCAGATACAATTGGAAAACCACCACCATAAAATGGATACATGAAAAATAAGAAAACTCCAACCTTTGCACTCGTGGGCAAAGGAAAACAATTATGAACACTTCATAATATCACTTATTTCTGAATCTACCATTAATTTTTGCAACATTTAGGGAACAATTTCACCAAGGAACTTAAATTTACTTCAAATTACACAAGACAGAAAGTTTCTGAGACAAACAAAAGAAAATATTAGGTGGGCGACTTCCTTATAAAATGCTTACTTGAAATTGAACTCAATTTTGAGACATCCTGTGTACATTTTGCAGGCATGTATTTTTGTGTATTTTTCCTTAGTGGGATACCTATTTATTAAGTAAGTGTTTAATTTTAAAAATAAATAAATAATAATTCATTGTTTCTTTTGAGTTCAACCAAAAGATTACAAAGTCAAAAATGTTTTACATCTAATATACATAATTAACTTGCTCTAAATATCCTTCAATATTATAATATACATTTTCCTTGCCAAATTTATCAACTCTTCTTTTGAAGATGCTTCTTTCTTCAATCTCTTTAATATTACTAGGGAGTTTGTTGTATATCTTTGAGGCTAAAAGAGATTGCAAAATGATGGCTATTAGTCAGGCGGAAATTTCAGAGTTCCATTGGGCACAACCCGCTACAAAATACGCAAGGAAAACTGCTAAGATGGATTAAGGGGCTCGATTGTTCCAGAGAGACGATTCTTGGGATCTTCTCCTGTACCATAAACTTTTTTAAGCTCCATATAAAAGACAAAGAATATGTAAAATGGCTCTAAGCCTACATCTGTACTTAGACAGGGAATATTTGCAGAGTTGCCCTTCTTTCTTGGGGCATTTAATATTACTTAATAGACTCTACTCACTTGTACTGTTCACTAAAGTCTTTGTACTCGATGCTTGGCTGGATATCCTCGATAAACTTCTGGGATTTGGACGTCATACTGACTAAATGGTGCGCACTCGTGGACCAATGTTCTATCAGTTCACTGAAGACACTTTTCCTGTGAAACAGGGGAGAAAAAAGGGTTACTCATACAGCATTTTTTCTTGAAAATAGATTAATTGGAAAGATCTGAAACATGTGAAATGGATCTTGGCTAAAGGTTAAGGAAAGTCCTCTTTTCAAAGCAGATGATATTTGCCCCCATTCAGGATCAAGCTGCAAGTTGAATGAATAAAGTAAAAGAAGACGCAACTGTTGAGAGAATTTCTCCTCACTCTACACGGAATAATGTTTGTAACTTCTTTTGAATATCAATTGACGAAAATTAAGTGCTCCTTTATTCCGGCGGCTAGGCAATTAGAGCCGCTTTTAAAACAACGTTAAAAAGCTCGGGGCACCGGAAGCAAATATGAGAAAATTGTAAACCAACTGTTAAAACCAGCAAACGGTATTTTCCAAATTTGTATAATACATTTAATATGAAACTACAATACTACTCGGACCAGTATCTCGGACTGCGAAGTTGCGTGTTTTCCGAGTAAAAGCAAGGTGTCTATTAGAACAGGCTGGCATAAAACTGGACTTTTACGGACAGTACATTCCCAAGAAATTCAGTGCCTCTTCAACGGGAAAATTTGGTACCTCCATTTGAAAAAATTCGAAAATTTGAAATTCTTGCTCGAATTGCGACAAAAATGGCGTAGCCACAAAATTTCATTGGCGGCTTGAAGATTAACAGACTGTGTTAGCTCAATATTGCAGGCAAATGCTACTCCAGAAACAACGCGTGGGGGGTTGCATACTTCCTAGGCTTTATCAAAAATCACGCGTGGTATGAAGGAAACAATGCAGGACCTTCTTGCGGAATTTCTGGATCTTTTTTAGTACTTCCGCACCGCCCTTAAAGAAGCATCTATTTCCGGACTTTCTGGTGATTCCGGACTAGTAGACACCCCGAAAAGCTTCTACCATTGCTAAAAACAGGGTTGCCACAGAATTAAGACAAATATTTTCCTTTACGATTCCCTGATTTCCCTATCACGTTTTGGCAAAATTCCTTGACAATTGAAGTTATGCCAGATGGTTAAAAATACATAATTTTAAATATTTTTTAGAAACATTTATTGTACGAAACGCCAAACTCATTCCAAAATGAGGCGACTAAGCAATTTTTCCCTGGCACTTTCATCGTTTTCCCTCACACTTCCAGGTTTTCTCTGAATTTTTAAAATTTCCTGAAAAATCCCGGTTTTCTCTGACCGTGGCAACCCTGCAAGATACCAATTGGACCGAGTTTATTAGAAAGGAACCAACCCACATTAAGTTGAAACTGAGAAAAAGAAGTTTGAAGTTTTATTCCTGCGTATAAGGCTCAATGTAGCAGTAAACTTAGACCCTCTTTTCACAAACTAATTTCTGTTTTTCGAATTTCCTTTTTTGGCAGGAGAACACGGCTAGTGGAACTCGAAAACATTCTTGATTAAACGTTTTCAAAAATATGGGTTGGTTCCTTTGTGACAAACAGAGAAACAACTTAAAACGGGACAAAGGCCGCAAATAATAAAAAGAAACACATAAAATAAAATAAGAAACCCGGGACGTTTCGTAGGGATCACACCCGCATTTTCAACCGGCAAAACAAGAAAAATTAATAGAAAGGACACTATCTAATAATTATTTATCTATCTTATCTATTAATTTTTCTTGTTTTGCCGCTTGAAAATGCGGGTGTGATCCCTGCGAAACGTCCCGGGTTTCTTATTTTATTTTATGTGTTTATTTTTATTATTTGCGGCCTTAGTCCCGTTTTAAGTTGTTTCTCTGTTAATGTTTCGGGCCGATTGAGTTGTTTTTTCTGATAAACTCGATCCAATGGACCACTAGACAAGATACGAATTTAGGCAATCTGATACATCTTCCTTAACCAGAGTTTCACGAAGAACACGATTCGCACAACGAAAACTAATGAAACCAACTCCTAACGAAGATATTAACGTTTTTATCTCACATTGGTTACGAGGAATTTGGACTGCCCGCTCACAAGAAACTCAAAGCTCTACGTGAGTCAAATCGCGCACTACAACGGCTTCAGCAAGCTCCTCAAACGAGCAATGTTCATTTCCCACCATGTCTTGTTCAAACTATAAGCAATTTGCCATAGCTGAGCCAAAGCGTCAAAACTGAGGTTGCCAGATTTTTAAATCGCAGATACTGTCATGATAACGTTTAGCGCGCGATGCGAATTACGCAGAGCATTGAGTTTTCATGAGCGGGTGGTTTGAATTTACGCATTAAGAATCATTAAATATCTTCGTAAGGAGTTAATTTCGGTAATTATCGTTGTACGCATCGTGTTTTACGTGAAATTTTGGTTAAGAAACATGTATCAGAGTGCTACAATTCGTACCTTGTCTAGTGGTCCATTGAGAGTCTAGGATCTCTCTTTGCCTCTGGCTGAGAGTAAGTTTACTGACCAGGTGGCGACGAAATTTTGGAGCATCTTCTGTTCCTTCTCGAGAAGACCGGGGAGGAGGACCGTTCGGAAATCCTTCTCGGATTCGGCCGCCTCCGCGACGAGGAGCACGTACTCGTTGTGGACCAGGTGGAGGCGCCGACAAGCCCGCTGGTACTTCTCCCGCACATCGTCTAGTTTCCGCCCGCCTCGTCCCGCTGAAACAAAACACATTCCCCATTCATCAATCATTAATTTCTAAACGAAAAAGAGGACAGTTAGACGAATTTCTGCTGAACAGATCCAGGGTGTTCAGCAATTTTCAAAAAGTAGATGCCCTGATTTTCGTGACTAAAAAGGGCCCAAAAAACCGGGGAAAAATTTAAAATTCCCTGACAGACGGAAAAAATAATTCCACGACAAAAAGAAAAAAATATTCCTAATTTTTCGACAAGGTTGAACTGAGGACCTAGATGTAAGTATGAATTCGTTCATGTTTTAAGGATATAATGTGATAAATTGAGCAAAATATATGGTACCTGAACTTATACATGATACGTTTGCCGGAAATTCTGGTAGCAATTTTAGTATCGATTCCATTTTTCTGAAACTTGATTCATCGTCAATTTTCAACGAAAAAAATCCTTGTGTTTCGATTTCCCGGAAGTTTCCCTGACAAGAAAATTGCTTGCAAAATAAAGTTCCCTGACATGCCGAATTTTTGCGAATTCCCTAACACGGAAAAAAAAATTCCCTGACATTTCCCGGTTTTTCAGGTCGCTAGATACCCTGGTATGGGAAAGATGGGGCGTGCTCGTGGTGAGCCGCATAAGAAACAACGAAAATGAGGGCGTGATTCATTTTAGAAAGATGGAAAAGCGGGATTTTACATTAGATCAAACAGAATTATGTGCCAACTGTATGCTAACGCATGGGCCGTGGGCATGTGACAAGAGCGTTGTGGACAGGGCTCATAAACTTCCAATGGAGAAATATCGATAGTCGATCGGTCACACTTTGCCACTGGGTGAGGAGGGGGGGAGGGGGATTATCGAAAGGAGGTTGAAGTGAAAAAATATTGAATGAAGGAGAGGAATTTCCTTGATTGTTTGCACTTGTTGACCGGCGACCATGCACTTTTCTACCTTGGCGTTTAAGTCTTCAAAGATATGCATTATGTACGTTCTTCTCTACGGCGTTATCCGCTCTTCCTCCTCATATTCTTCTTCTACGGAATTGGCGATACGTAACCAACCGGAAATGTTCGGTCTTTGATAATAATCATACCTTATCATGTTTTTTCATAATAAAGATTATCACGGACGGCTCCCAAAAAATTATGGAAAACAATCGGCAACATTTAGAACCGTACGCTCGCTCAAGTTGGGTTAGCGCCTGGATGCAACTATTCGAGCTCGGCGATTGTCCGTGTTGCATACTCACGCATTTGAAGGCGTTTTGGGTTTTTTGTGCCCTCCCAGAATAACGATGTTATGATGTGTGTCGGTTGACGGCGGCCAGTGCGCAGTGGATGGAGTCCATCAGAGAGGTCGGACATGAAATTTTTGACTAAAACTGCAAATTTTGATATTTCATTCGTCATATTTTAAATTTAGAGGGGTATTTCTAGAAGAAAATTGCACGAGGAAACCAATGGAACCACTATTAAAACTCAAAGTTTTGTATAAAAGTTGGAGGTTTTTATAGGTTCCAAATTTTGTCCGACCTCTCCCGTTGACTCGATCCACTGTGCGGCGCGGCGCAAGCGAGACATTTCATCCTTTAGATTACTTGACGAGACTCTTAATGATTCACTCTTGAACTGAGGTTCATATTACTCCTCATATGAAAGATCAGTTATTCTTTTCTTTGGTAAAAGAAAAAAGGGTTTTTCGAAGGTGCTTATCAATTTTCCCCTGGCATTTTCGTCATTTTCCCTGACATTTCCTGGTTTCACTGACTTCTTAAAATCCCCTGGCATTTCTCGGTATCCCCTGACTGTGGCAACCCTTATCTAAGCTTGGTGGTTTTGTTACCGAAGTTTTATTCTCCGTTTGTGATAATCAAGAGATACATCAGGGTGTCTACTAAAACAGGCTGGCCAAAAATCGGTAATTTTACCGTACTTTTCCGGTCCATTCCCAAGTACCGCCTCCTCAACAGAAAAATTCAGTTCTTTTTCAGTACCTCCAGTTGAGGAAATTCGAAAAATTTGAAATTCTCGCTGAATTTACAACAAAAATGACGAAAAATTTAAAAAAATTCTGGACCTTCTTGCGGAATTCCGCACTTTTTCAGTACTTCCGAACCGCCCTTATAAAAATCAGTACTATTTCCGGACTTTCCGGAAATTCCGGACTTACAACCCTGTTGGTGGTTGTATTACCGAAGTTTTACTCTCCGTTTGTGATAATCAAGAGATACATGAGGGTGTCTACTAAAACAGGCTGGCCAAAAATCGGTAATTTTACAGTACTTTTCCAGTCCATTCCCAAGAAATTCAGTACCTCCTCAACAGAGAAATTCAGTACTTTTTCAGTACCTCCAATTGACGAAATTCAAAAAATTTCAAAAATTTGAATTTCTCGCTCAAATTGCAACAAAAATGACAAAAAATAAAAAAAATTCCGGACCTTCTTGCGGAATTTCCGCACTTCTTCGGTACTGCCGAACCGCCCTTAAAAAATCAGTACTATTTCCGGACTTTCCGGAAATTTCGGACTTGTAGACGCCCTGTTGGTGGTTGTATAACCGAAGTTTTACTCTCCGTGTGTGAAAATCGAGAGATACATTAAAAAATGTCCTTCTCGCGAACAGCGCTGCCGTGCTAAAGGAAAAACGCCGTATGAACATCCGAGAGTTGCCAGATTTCCTCCCACAAAACGTTCATTTTTTAGGAGAATTATGAATGTTTTCTCTCGAAATTTTCAGATAATTTAGATCTGATTGCGAATAAAATTCTCCGAAAAATTGGAGGAAAAATATTTACAGATTTGCCAGAAAATGTTGTATTTTATCAAAGGAAATTTGGCAACGTCTGAAGGCTCATACGGCGTTCTTCCCTAGCACGGCAAAGTGGCTCCTGACTAAAAATTGGACTGCATTTTGCAATTTGGAACTATAAATTCTGGTTCATCTGAGAAAACACTAATGTGCATAGGGAAACTAATGGCACATACGTTGTTTTTATACCGAGCCACAATTTATAGTTCCAAATTGCAAAATGCAGTTCAATTGCGAAGGAGGAAAAGCGATGAAAATGCGGACGCGACACGACGGAGGACGGACACGGCCGGCGATGACGCGAAAGATCGCGAAACGGGTCACGGAGAGAAAAAGGTCTGAATCGCTCAATCAACCCATAAGGAGCGCATCGGCGCAGCTGTATACGTGACAAATTCTCGCGTTTCGAAAAGAACTTCGGCTTGCGGCTCGGAGCTTCCCGTTTTCCACTTCGTTGCCAAGTCAAAATCAAGCAAAAAACCGATAGCGGGGTCCTGCGGGCTGATTGTTGAAATTAGTAGACAAAGCGATACTTAGACAAAGGAGACATATGGGGAGCGTGAAGCGATTCTATTGGTTGAAATAGGTGGTTGTTACAGACCAAGGGGGTAGGTAAATGATGGACTAACTATATGGTGTCACGTTGGTTGCCGTTCGATTCCCGCTGGAAATGGAGAGAGGCGACTATGGAGATATTGCATGTGTGAGGTATTTGCGATTTGGCTGTTGATTCTAATGTAAAAGTTGGCGAGAAACACGATGGTGCTACTGGTTTTCTCTGAAATCAACTCCCAAGCTCAGAAAGAGCTCTTGAGTTGAGGCCAAAATGGAGGGGATATCCCACCCTACCATGAGAGTTCACGTCTACATCGAGACAAACTCTCCATGCAAAGATAGGGAGCAAATACATCGACAGAGCTACCACTTTATTCGGGGACTCTAAAACTGAAAACACGGCATCACTGCTAATGTATTTGCTCCCTATCTTTGCATGGAGAGTTCGTCTTGATGTAGAGATGGACTCTCAGGGTAGCGTGGGATATCCCCTCAATTTTGGCCTCAACTCGAGAGCTTTTTTGAGCTTGGGAGTTGATTTCAGAGAAAACCGGTGACACCATCGTGTTTCTCGCGAACTTTGGCATAAGAATCAACAGCCAAATCGCAAATTCCTCACAAATGCAACATCTCCATTGGCACCGGCAACCGTGTTCATTGGAACGGCGATCCTTTTTCTAGTAAACGCACGCGCCATTCGGGGAAGATGTATACGCAGTACTCACAACACAACTACTACGCAATAATCTCGTCATCTCTTCACGACCGACGACCAGCCAGTCCCTCCATTGTCGACTTCGAGTATAGAAGAAATTTCGCCAATTTTTTTTTACTTCAGCCCGCTCCAGCTGAAAGATACGTTCGGCATGAGCAGCAGCGGGCTGATCGTTGAAATTGGTAGACAAAGCAATAGAGAAAGATGGCCAAAAGGATAAGGAGGGATTCTATCGGTGAATCGGGTGGTTGCAATTGACAGAGGAGGTAGGTAACAGACGCACTGACGACAACCCACGAGAGACCCTTTAGTTAGTTCATCATTTTCTCCCTTAGTCTATGAAAGAACCACCTATTTCAACCGATAGGATCGCTCGATACTCCTTATGCCTTTTCTGTCAATAACGCTTTGTCTATCAATTTCAACAATCAGCCTGTTGAAGACGATTAGACGAAATCGAAGAGAGCAGGAACTCCGAAATGAGGGTTTGAGAATTTGTATAAATAGACCTAGGTATATTCAAGCGGAAAATTTCATTGAAAATTCCTCCGCTTCCCGTAAAATTGTCGATAAATCTGACTGATGAATTTCAAAATCAACAAGCTACCCCACCAAATCATTACTGTCCATCGATGGCCATAGTGTGAGACCGCGGTATCTGTATTGCAATGTTTCAAAATGTCCGCTCTCATCATGTGTTACGAAGAGAAACAAGCCAATTTTGAAATTTATGCTGAATATTTTGCTAACAGAGAAGACAAATCCAGGCAGTTTTCAAGAAAGTACGATCCTTTCATCTATATACTTTCCGACTGTCTCCATTATTACACCAGCTCCGATTCCGAGTTTGACGAAAGGCAGACTTCCAGCTCCGTCGGTCGCTGCATGCCCGGTTAGTTTCCGGCGCTCGCAATAAACTCGACGCTTTTGGCGCTGCTCGCGAGC